GGCCCGGGCAGCAAGGCGGACGTGTTTCGGCGGCGCCTGCACCTGCTGCTGGCGCGCACGGCCCGCCACCGTCGCTTCGCCGTGCCGCTGCTGCCCCTGGGGAGCGCGGAGCAGCAGCAGTACACTGAGGTGCGCGCACAGGGCAAGGGGGCAGAGGGGCGCGAGGGGGCATTGGGGAGGGGGTCCTGCTGTGGGGGTGGGGCTGTGGGGGAAGAAGAGAGTTGTGCGAGCTCTAAGAGTTTCCTTGTCACTCGTTCTTCTGTTTTTTCGCAGTGTGCAACCGTCTCTGCTGCTCTCATTCAAGAGCCTCCTCTCAGATCAACATCCTCACGTTTCTCCCTCCCTTCCTAACTGTCTTGCTTCGCCACTGCTTTTCCACCCTTCCCCTCTTCTCCTCCCCCCCCTCCCTCTGCCCGCCCTCCCTCCGCTTCCCCCCCATCTTCCCCCCCCCCCCCTGCAGCTGACGCCGGTGCAGGCGCTGGTGGGCGGCACAGCGGTGTCGCAGCAGCGGCGGCACGTGGCGGGGGTGCTGTCGCAGCTGGAGGACGGGCGCTTCTTCCTAGAGGACCTGGCTGCCGCGCTGCCGCTCGACCTCGCACATGCCATATCCTGCTCACTATACTCGCCGCACTCACCATGCTCGTCTCACTCACTTTCCTCACTGCTCTCACTGCTCTCTCCGCTCTTGCTGCTCTCACCACTCCCACTGCTCCCACTGCTGTCACTGCTCCCACTGCTGTCACTGCTCCCACTGCTCTCACTGCTCTCACTGCTCTCACTGCTCTCACTGCTCTCACTGCTCTCACTGCTCTCACTGCTCTCACTGCTCTCACCGCTCTTGCTGCTCTCACCACTCCCACTGCTCCCACTGCTGTCACTGCTCCCACTGCTCTCACTGCTCTCACTGCTCTCACTGCTCTCACTGCTCTCACTGCTCTCACTGCTCTCACTGCTCTCACTGCTCTCACTGCTCTCACTGCTCTCACTGCTCTCACTGCTCTCACTGCTCTCACTGCTCTCACTGCTCTCACTGCTCTCACTGCTCTCACTGCTCTCACTGCTCTCACTGCTCTCACTGCTCTCACTGCTCTCACTGCTCTCACTGCTCTCACTGCTCTCACTGCTCTCACTGCTCTCACTGCTCTCACTGCTCTCACTGCTCCCACTGCTCTCACTGCTCTCACTGCTCTCACTGCTCTCACTGCTCTCACTGCTCTCACTGCTCTCACTGCTCTCACTGCTCTCACTGCTCTCACCTCTCTCACCCCACACACCATGTTCACCGCTCTCCTCTCACTGCACGTGCACCGTTACCTGTGCCGCTTTGCTGCCTGTTTGGAATGCTCTTGGTCCCCCTCTCTCACCCCCCCTCCCTCCCCTCTTGGACTCACACATACACGCATGCACCCTCTTACTCCCGCACACGCGTTCACATGAAGCATGACCTGACTTGACAGCTGTGTTTCCTTGACCTGGCTCTCCCTACGCTCTCCTCGTTCCTCCCGTCTCTCTCCCTCCCTCTCCCTCTCCCTGTCTCTCCCTCCTTCTTTCCTCCCGCCTTCTCTACCCCCTGCAACTCATCGTGACCATCCCCCTGCACTATCTCCTCGGAACCGTTGCCTGCCTTCACCTCACCACACACCGTCCATCGGCTACTTCACGGAGAATTCAGTGGTCATTGCAGCGGGGCAACTCACACCCTCCGGCTGCTTCAAGGTGCCCCTCCCCTCTCTGTCTCTCCTGCGCGCCTTTCCCCTCCCCCACCCCCCACCCCTCCCTCCTCCCTTTCCCTCACCCCTCCCTGCTCCCTTTCCCCCACCTCTCCCTGTTCCCTACCGCTTCCTCCTGTCTCGTTTTCGTGCTGTTTCCGTCTGGGTGACGTGATCCCACCACGTTTCATTGCAGCACTCCACAACCTCCTGTTCCCCTCCAATCTTCTCTCTCACTTTCCCTCTTCCCCTCTCTCACCCTTCCCTCTCTCCCCTTTCCCTCTCTCCCCTTTCCCCTCTCTCCCCTTATCCCTCTCCCCTTTCCCCTCTCCCCCCTTTCCCCTCTCCCCCCTTTCCCCTCTCTCCCCTTTCCCCTCTCTCCCCTTTCCCCTCTCTCCCCTTTCCCCTCTCCCCCTTTCCCCTCTCTCCCCTTTCCCCTCTCTCCCCTTTCCCCTCTCCCCCCTTTCCCCTCTCTCCCCTTTCCCCTCTCTCCCTTTCCCCTCTCTCCCCTTTCCCCTCTCTCCCCTTTCCCTCTCTCCCCTTTCCCCTCTCCCCCCTTTCCCCTCTCTCCCCTTTCCCCTCTCTCCCCTTTCCCCTCTCCCCCTTTCCCCTCTCCCCCTTTTCCCCTCTCCCCTTTCCCCTCTCCCCCTTTCCCCTCTCCCCCCTTTCCCCTCTCCCCCTTTCCCCTCTCTCCCCTTTCCCCTCTCTCCCCTTTCCCCTCTCTCCCCTTTCCCCTCTCTCCCCTTTCCCCTCTCCCCCCTTTCCCCTCTCTCCCCTTTCCCCTCTCTCCCCTTTCCCCTCTCTCCCCTTTCCCCTCTCTCCCCTTTCTCCTCTCCCCCCTTTCCCCTCTCTCCCCCTGAAGGTGACCTCCCTGGAGTTCCCCCCTTTGGAGCCAAGAGAGGAGGCTCTTTCTCTCGCAGAGGGCTTTGACTTCTTTGGAGCAGGTCCCATTGACTCCGACAGATATGTGAGTATGCGTATCCATTCATTGGGGCGGGGGGGGGGGGGGTGCGCACATATCTGCCTCTTGTCAAACATTCATCGCTGGCTAGCTATGATCTATCTTCTGGTCTAGAACCCCCCTTCCCCCCCTCGGCCTTTCTTTCGCTCCATCTCTGCCTCCCACCATTTCCTCCCTCTCGCTTTCCTGCTCCCCTCTCTTCGTCACTCTCCCATCTCCCTGCGCTCTCCTTCTCATCCCCCCCACTCTGCTGGCCCCCTCATACAGCAGTGCGAGGAAGTTTTGAGGCGCCCCAAAACTAGACTTGTCGTCCCTCCTTTTGCCCTCCCTCGCCCCTCCTTGCAGGCGTGGATACAGCAGCGCGAGGCGGAGGGCGTGTCGGAGGGTGTTATGTTCATCGTTATTGCTGGCATCGCGCTCGACCACCCCCAGGTGAGATTTGACCGCCCCCAAGTGAGTGTTGACTGCCCCAGGTGAGATTTGACCGCCCCCAAGTGAGTGTTGACTGCCCCAGGTGAGATTTGACCGCCCCCAAGTGAGTGTTGACTGCCCCAGGTGAGATTTGACCGCCCCCAAGTGAGTGTTGACTGCCCCAGGTGAGATTTGACCGCCCCCAAGTGAGTGTTGACTGCCCCAGGTGAGATTTGACCGCCCCCAAGTGAGTGTTGACTGCCCCAGGTGAGATTTGACCGCCCCCAAGTGAGTGTTGACTGCCCCAGGTGAGATTTGACCGCCCCCAAGTGAGTGTTGACTGCCCCAGGTGAGATTTGACCGCCCCCAAGTGAGTGTTGACTGCCCCAGGTGAGATTTGACCGCCCCCAAGTGAGTGTTGACTGCCCCAGGTGAGATTTGACCGCCCCCAAGTGAGTGTTGACTGCCCCAGGTGAGATTTGACCGCCCCCAAGTGAGTGTTGACTGCCCCAGGTGAGATTTGACCGCCCCCAAGTGAGTGTTGACTGCCCCAGGTGAGATTTGACCTGCCTCGCCTGGCAATAGGGTGTTCAACAGCAATGGCGCCATGGTCCTGCTCCCCTCCCATTGACAGAAGTGTAGTTTTGAGACGTCTCAAAAACCACAGTTCTACGGCACGTGTTCAGCGGCTATGGCGCCATGGACCTGCTCCTCCTCCCCCATTGGCCTCTTGTCCCCCGCTCTTTCAACTGCCCCGCCGCTGCTCGTCATTGCTTGCAGCTGCTTGCTCGCCTTTGTCTGTCTCTCCACCAGACCCTGTCGTGCTTGGCAACGGTGTTCAGTGGCTACGACGCCATGGATGGGCCTTCCCTTCCCCCCTCCCATTGACCTGTCGTCCCCCGCTCTTTCGACTGCCCCACCTCTGTTTGTCGTTGCTGTCGTTGCTATCGTTGCTTGTCTCTGTACCAGACCCTGTCGCGCCTGGCGACGGTGTTCAGTGGCTACGACGCCATGGACCCCCCTCCGCGCCTCTTCCTGCTGCTGGGAGACTTTTTCACCACGCCCTGGAGCCTCGCCTCGCACCAACTGCACGCGCACAGGTGGGTGCCCTTGCTGCTGCACGCGCTGCACACGGGCATAGGTGGAGCGTTGTCCTGCCTGCCTCGTCGTGTCTCATGGTTTGTGGAGTCACCTGTGGTATCTATGCTGGGGTACATTTTTGAGGCGCCTCAAAAATAGACTCCTCACCTGTGGTATCTATGCTGGGGGACTTTTCCAGCACGCCCTGGAGCCTCGCATCGCCTCGCACCAACTGCACGCACACAGGTGGGCGCCCCTGCTGCCTGCTCGGGCTGTTATCACATGAGTAGGGGTGCAGGCAGGCATGTAGGGGTGCACGCGCACAGGTGCAGTGTTGTCCTCCCTCTGGTGTCACATGGTGTGTCCTGTGCTATGCATGCCTTGTCCTCCCATTACACTTGTCCCCCTTTTTTCATACTCTCCATTCCCCCCCTTCCCCCCGCTACCAGGGAGGCCTTTGCTCAGCTTGCCCGAATCATCGCATCCAACCGCTGGCTCAAGTGAATCCAAGCATAAAACCATTGCTTTCTCTGTGTCCCTCTAGTCCCATGCACTCCATTCATCTCCCCCCCCCTCTCCCCCCCAGGGAGGCCTTTGCTCAGCTTGCCCGGATCATCGCATCCAATCGCCGGCTCAAGGAGAAGTCCCTCTTTGTCTTTGTCCCGGGGCAAGGCGACCCAGGTACGGCCCTCTCCTGCCCTTACACCTGACCAGTTATGAGAAGGGTACTCAGAAGCACATATCAAGCATATCGTTACGGTAGCTTATTAGTACTTTATCAGAAAACTATTGCATGTTTTCCAGTGCTGAGCTGAGCCATCCCTGTAAAGTAAAGCACATTGATGGAGCAGCCCCATTGCACATGGTACGCTGTCCCAAGGCGTGTGTGTCTTGAGCACAGCAATGCGTGTTGAAGGGAAACGATGGGGTAATGCATGTGCGTGCACTGCACACCCTGTCGCCTTCAGCTGTTGCTACTGCGTGTACACGTTGCAATACACACTAACACAATCAGCTTCTTGCTTGCTCGCTCCCTTCCCCTCACTGCTCCCCTTGCCCTTGCGCCGCCCGTGCCCCCTTGCCCCACCCTTGCCCCACCCTTGCCCCCTGCCCCGCCCTTGCCCCCTTGCCCGTGCCCATGCCTGTTTCTGTGCACGTGCCCTGGCCTTCCCCAGGCCCATGCTCCGTGCTGCCGCGTCCGCCTCTGCCGCGCTTCTTCACAGATCCCATCACGGATGCCCTCCCCTCTGCTCTCTTCACCTCCAACCCCTCAAGGTGCGCCCTTGCTCTCGCTCCATCGTTCCGTTCGTTCTCGCTGTTTCCTATCACTTGCACACATGCACGTACACAGGCACGTACATGCGCTCTCTTTGTCACGCTTCGCCCCGTTGGGTTCCTCACTCCAGCTCCGTTCCCACCCTTGACACGCCCCCCACCAAGCTCGAGTTCTTCTTCCGTTCCCACCCTTGGTCGCTGTGCGCTTTGTATGGTAGCCGCCTTAGTGGCAGGCTCTCTCATCCACGCTGCTCCGTCCCACCCTCCCCTCCCCTCCCCTCCCCTCCCCTCCCCTCCCCTCCCCTCCCCTACCCTCCCTTCCCCCCCCCACCCACGCTCAAGTTTTTCTATCAGAAGCTGGGCATTCTGCGCTCTGCATGCTGGCACTATCCGTGTTAACCCTCCCCTGCCCTCCCCTGCCCTCCCCTGCCCTCCCCTGCCCTCCCCTGCCCTCCCCTGCCCTCCCCTGCCCTCCCCTGCCCTCCCCTGCCCTCCCCTGCCCTCCCCTGCCCTCCCCTGCCCTCCCCTGCCCTCCCCTGCCCTCCCCTGCCCTCTCTCCCCCTCCCAGGTTAAAGTTCTTCTGTCAGGAGGTGGTCATTCTGCGCTCTGACTTGCAGCGCCACATGCAGCGCTGCGCCGTGCTGCCCCCACTCAAAGACGCCGCTGACCCTTTCACCCATGTGAGTGAGACGTGGCTTTGAGAAGTAGTAGTAGACGACTGAAAACACGTCGTGCTACCCTATCCCCGCTCAAAGACGCTGCTGACCCTTTCACCCATGTGAGACGTGTCTTTTAGTAGTTTTTGCGTTTGCTCCTTCATATTTCATTTCATGAGTCAATCCTCGAACCTACTTCTGAGCCGGCCTGAGTGTCGAACTATGGCAGTTTACCCGTTGGTTTATCCTACAGCACCTACGTGCGACTCTTGTCTCCATTTCCTCGATTTTGCCTGTGCCACTCATGTCTCCCTTCCTTGGCTCGTCATTCCTCCGTTTGCTTCCATCGTCTCCCTCCCTCTACGCGTACCCGCTCCTCCCCCATGCCCCAGCTTGCCACCACAGTGGCGCATCAGGCGCACCTTAGCCCCCTCCCCCTCGCACGATACAAGTCTAGTTCTGGGGCGCCTCCAAGCTAAACCTTTATCGTCCCTCTCCTCCCTCTGCACACACCCATCACCTTCCCAATACCTCAGCTTGCCACCACAGTGGTGCACCAGGCGCATCTGAGCCCACTGCCTCTCGTGCGATAGAAGTCTAGTTCTGGGGCACCTCAAAGCTGAACCTTTATCGTCCTCCTCCTCACTCTGCACAAACCCATCTCCTTCCGTGTACCCATTGCCTCAGCTTGCCACCACAGTGGTGCACCAGGCGCACCTGAGCCCCCTCCCCCTGACATCCCAGCCTGTGTTCTGGGACTACGACTTTACCCTGCACCTCTTCCCTGCACCACATGTGGTATGCTGGCTTGACATGACACCTGATTGGACTGACTGATTCGTTGATTGCTGCCATGTCCTGGGTATGCCACTCTGTTTACCACCGCTTGCAGATTCGTTCTACCACCAGCTTTCGAATATTTTCGTACACCATTAACTCTCCATGTTATCCACTCATCCGTACTCACCGATCCATAACCACCCATGTATTACCATGCATCCTGCTCCATCCTTGTATTCGCCCCCAGTCAATACAGTTGATTCACTCAAGTGACTTCCACCTTTCGTCTCACCCATTTTCTCCCCATTTTCCCTCTTTTACAGCTCATTTTCTTGTGCCTCACCTCCTCCCACTCGTCTTCCCCTCTCGTTTTACCCATTCCTCCCGTTGCAGTTGATTCTGGCAGATGCAGCTGATCAGGGCAGCACAGTGGTGAATGATGTCACCTGCATCAACCCAGGTTCCTTCTCCCTAGATGGCACCTTCACTGCGTACTACCCGGCCACACGGACGGTCGAGCACTGTAACGTGTGATGTTTTTTCTGCCTGCACAGTGTGCCGATAAAGTTGTACGCTTGTACATGTGAATTTCTTCATTCAATAATTTTACCTCCTCTCTTCCTTAAACCCATGGGCTATGGCTTTCTTTTATATTGCTACCTCCTCCCTAGCTTCTCTCGTGCACTGGGCGTACACCAGTTTTCTGCACTAAAATTATTTGCAACAGCCTCATCACAAGCAGTTCTAAACCCCACATCTAGCAGCTACACCAACCATCCAGACAATGCTTGGAGCCTTCCTTCTCTGCCCTTTTGTTTCACGCAAGGCCAGCTACCAGCTCCCACCCATGAGTTATTTTCAGCAGTGGCTGGAAACACAATTCCAGGTGACAGGCCAACAACTGAACTGCTGCAACTGCAGTTCACGTCCTAGAGCATCAGTTCAGGCACACACCAGACAGGCATTATCTACCTGTGCCTGCGACTCTCCCCGCCACGGTGGCGACCTGCACCATTAACAGCAGCGAGAAATTCAGGAATAAGAACATGTCTATCTGTTGTGGCAAGAGACAAGATCCAGTCATTCCATCCACCAGCCTTCGCACATCTACTCCCCATACTCCATCACACATTCCATCACTCACGCTACACCCCGTACTCCATCCCACAACCAACTGATAGGTGGTTGGAACTGTACACCCCCCTGAGCCATCCCTCCCATCAGAAGCAGCACTCACCTTCCGCCAGGTGCAGCTGTGCATCCAGGGACTTGCCCCCTGTGCCCCCTTTCACCACAGTCTCTCCTGCCTCTGCACGCTTCTCCAGCTCCTGATGCACGCAAGGAGACAAGGACAAACACCGAAGCAAGAAACGTGTCAGTCACAGCAAACACTGCACAAAAGCGAAGCAGGGTAAACTCCAACATCTGTCAGGCAGGTACGGTACATGTATCTTTTTCCACATGAGGCATGCCCCTCTCGTTCGCCACATCATATGTGTACAGCAACGCACCTTGCGCTGGTCCGCAGACATTTTGTGAACTTCCTCGTACGCATACTGGTGCTTGGCGGCAGCAGATTCCGCATGCGCACGTGTGGTATGGCCCCCCTCGAGTGTCCCCTGGCCTGTTTAATGGGGGCAAACAGATTGTATCTCCAAATCGAAATCCAAAAAAAGAACACAGCACCCTGCTGTACAAGTACACAGCACAAAACGGTTTCGTGCAGGCTACACGACACACCCTGCTCAAGCATCAAGGCACCAGCAGCCACAGTCCAACCAGCGAGCCTGACAGCCCGTATACCCCCCCTATACTGTGTATCTGGGACAGCTGGACCAACAAGCCATCTCAACAAGCCACCTCAACAGCCACCACCAGACGCAACCACATCACAGGGCACCGTTGTAGGAAGAGAATAACTGCTGGCCAGCACTACTTAGTGCAACTGAGCACTACTTAATGCAACTTAGCACTACTTAGTGCGGAACTTGGACTCGTCTACGTCAATACCCTTCTCAGCAGCAGCTTCCCCGCCGGACTGCTCCACGGTGGAGAGCCCGCCCTTGCGCCCCACCTCCTGGTACCCCTCGCTGCCTATCTGCTCCGCGCGCGCCTGCCCGCCCCTCTCGCCGCCCTTGTGGCGTCCTGCTCACTCACACGCACAGTAGAATAAGCAAAAGGAAATGAGAACGATGTGTATGAAACGAAGCTGAAGATCGTATAAGTGCATACAAGCCTCACCTTCCGCCAGGTGCAGCTGTGCCTCCAGCGACTTGCCTCCAGTTCCGCCCTTCACCACGGTCTCTCCTTCCTGCACACGGCGCTCCAGGTCCTGCATGACACGGCACGGAACAGCACCGAACAGCACGGAATAGGTGAGCACGCGTGACACTCAGAAACTAAGGTCGGAAACACAGGCAGAAGAGACTCAGAAAAATGACTCGGTGCACAAACGCTGATTTGACCTGCTTGTCCTGCTCCGACATCTTGTGGATCTCCTCCGCGCTGTACTGCTGGGCGGACGCCATGACGAGGCGGGGAGAATGAAACCGGTGGCGGAAGAAGGATACCCTAGAATCGCCCCACAGACGGCTCCTGGAGATTGACGACGCACGACGGTTGCGCGCTGTAGCGGAGAACAAACCTCGAGTGGCAAAAGAAGCGAGAGAAGCAGCGGACGCCAGCGTGGCGAGCTAGACTAAGGCTCTGCCGTGTGGGAAGGCTCTGCAGCAGTGACGATCTGAGACGGTAATGGAACTGGAGGAAGAAAAGGTCGGGGATGCTCGGTGTGGCACAGAAGCGGGATGGTGGTGGTAAATTTAATGTGCACGCGGCGCGGTAATCGCATGCGCTTCGACAAGGCTCGACATTGAGTCGGAGCTTGTTGTGTGATGGGGCTCGACTCGAGCATGACGAGTGGGAGAGGATGTAATGCCACGTGGATTTACAATTTGCGATACACAGCCCTATCGACTTTGCTGCACATGCACGCTGCACACGAGACATTTCGGAATTTGGTGATACTACCTTCTCTGGCTGGTGGGTCTTGACCGAAGAAAACGCACTTAGCTGACATAATATCTCCCCACATGACTAAGTCATAACCATACCAGAATAAACACCATCCAAGCTAGTCTGCTAACACATCAGATATAGCGACATGGCACAAGATGACTAACATCCGGTGATAGTCAGAAAGAACCATGACAGAACCCAGACCGAAAGGTCAAATGCAGAATGCAAGACCCCAGACCCCAATGAATCATGCACCCCAAACAGATGGACCCTAAGAGAAAATGTTTTAAACTAAGGAGGGGATGTTGATCCATGAAGCCCAACCAAAGCCAACTGCAGTTCACATCTTTTCCAACCCCAAAATCCTGCATGGATACAACCAACAGCAGTATTCATGAAAGCACACGTCATTAGACACTGACTGGATGAAGCTGTTCGACTGAAAACATCAGACCCCTAGAATGGCATGCTTACCGTAATAAAAAAGACTCAACCGAAGTTGAATCCGCCACTGGGAGCCATCGGCTGGCTTTCTCCAAAGGCATAAGTTTGCTGGTTGGCGTCAACTTGAGGTGCGAGTTGTTGGTCCTCATCCTCATCCAGACCAAAATAGGTCTCCAGTATCTTCACAGCCTTCTCATAGATGTCATTGTTCTGATGAGTCTGCAGGTTCTCAATCTTCTCCAAGCCCTCAGCCTCGTCAATGTACTGCGCATAAAGGTTGACCCCTCCAGTCTGACCCAGCTCCTTGTCTGCCTCTCCGACCTTCAGGATGTTCTCCAAGCCTTCCAATGCCACGGTCACGATCCTCGCGTCAGACGTGAGCAGCAGATCACACAAAGGCTTAATGCATCCCTGGGACACAAGGTACCTGAGAAACACACAAAGTTAAAAGTGAGAATATAAGCACAGAACTTCTACTGCACTAAAGCCCTTCCTTCCATACCTGATCTGATCATGAGTGCCACCAGAAGTAGCATTTGAAATGGCCCATGCTGCCTCCTTCTTGATGTCAAATTCAGCAGTCTCCAGCAGGTGCTTCAACGGAGGAATAATATTTGCATCAATAACAGCCTGAATGACGATGGAAGGGATCGGACGAAAAGCAGAGATGATCAGGATTTAACACACAGGGCACATGGGCATTGCGGAAAGAGGAAAGGAAGCAGGGAAAGTGGAAGGCGGAGGAGGGGAGAGGAGAGAAAGAAGTACCTGAATTTGTTCCTTATTGCCAGCAGTGATATTGGATATTGTCCAGCACGCTTCTTTCTTAATGCTTTTCTTGTGGTTCGTTGTGAGCAAGGCAAGCAGGCACGGCAGAACTTGGTTCTCGATGATGACCTGAAAGCAAACAATGTGTTAGACGCAGTGGCGCGTTTACTTCGAGAAACAACAACAGCTTGATTCAGTCAACACGTACCTGCGTCTGAGCATCATCTCCTGTGACAATGTTGCCAACAGTCCGAAGAGCAGGGATCAGAACCGAAGGTGACGGATGCCTGGAAACCCAAAAAGGTAGTCAAGTTTCAATCATACGGTGTGAGAGCAAACAACGTCAAGGCTGCACGGTTCTACTCACAGCAGCAACTCAACCAGGCGCCGACAAACATTCGCCTCAATGACAGCCTGGATCTTGTCGTTCGTTCCGTCAGACAGATAGGACAGAGCCCAGCACGCATCTGTCAAAACCTCTTCGTCCGTAGAGTGGATAAGGCGCTCGAGGACCGGCAAAGCGGGTTTCGACTGCAAAACAGAGAAATCAGGATATAAATGAAGCCAGCAAAACGTTTAGAAACCACGGTCGAGAAGGAAAGACGGTTTGTATGTACCTGCTCGAACGGAGGCTGGGGCTTTCCACGGCAAAAGTTCGACAGCGTCCAGGTAGCATTCCGGAGCATAGACAGCTTCGAATTCTCGTTCAGCTGAGCAAGCAGCGGACCCATAGCGTTGTGGCTTAAAACCAGATCCCGGCACTTGGGGGAGTCGCCAGCGATGTTACCAAGAGCCCATACAGCCTGCAGTTCAGACTTCCCTTGTCAGTGCCAGAATCCACACACATCCAGATCAGCTATCCAAACTAAATTCTTCAAACCTAACCTGCTCGCGGACGTCATCACTGGGAGAGCTAAGAAGCTGAACGAAGATAGGGACTGCTCCATGCTCAATGACCACTCGGGTGTGGTCCGAGGTACCCGACGCGATATTGGTCAAAGCCCACGCTGCTTCGAACTGCAAAATACAATCTTAAATCAGAAGTCGAAATCGATAGTTCAATCTGTGGACGAAAAACAAGATCTAGTCAAGTAATACGGACCTGAAGCTGCGGAAAGTCGTACTTCTGCAGGAATTGCGTGAATCTGGGCACAACGCCAGCCTTTATGACCTCTTCGATTGGAGGACTACGTTCTGTGAACAACGAGATCCGCCGTCAGATCACACGACAGCTTAGAAGTAACGTAGAAGGCATAAAGAACTTAACGGAACATACCGATCGAAAGAAGCTTCCTAAACTGCGTCGTTGCCTCAAGCTGAGCCGGCGGATCTTCTGACCACACGCCTTGTACCATAGCCGGAAGGCTCTCCAACTAAACACACAAAAAAGGCAAATCCATTCACAAAACCGCAATAAAAGCGATTGCTGAAGGACGCGGGGGTAAAGCAAGGCGCACCTTCTTCTCGACAGTTGCCACGGGGATTTTAGGCAGCTCTACTTGAGCCTGCATTCCTTCCTTGCGCTTCTTGAGGAGGCTCTCCTCTCTCTTGCTCTTACGGATCTCAACCATATTGTCCTCGCGACGCCTGCGAGCCTCATCGGCGTTAACAGCTTGCTTGTAAGCAGACTTTCTCGCCTCCGTGCGAGCACTCGGACGGAGAGACATGGTGGCAAGGGCCCGAAGGCACTGAGAGTTAGGCGAGACCTACTGAACTGCAAATTCCAGCCTGAGCTAGAAAGAGGAGAGGAAAAATGAACCCTACGAGATTTGGGATGGATGTGATCCAACCAACAAACTTGTCCCCGAGTTTCGCGAAAAGAATTTGACGAGAGTAACACGCGCAAACGAGTAAGTTCGAGCATATTTCGCTGATGTCAGAGTGCGAACTTCAGATGGTTACACTTCCCACTGATGGGCTCTCCCGCGTTCCAACCCAGATCCACTTTCGCACTGCGCGCCGTGGGGGACTGGACGGGACTTGGGGGGAGTCCCCACATGTATGGAAGGGGGAGCACCGCCCTCTGGAAGTATGTGGGAGCTTGACACGCATTTTGACAACCACCGTCACAAAGTTGATACGACAGTCATGTCTCAGCTATGTTGCTGGCCATCATCAGCATCCTAGCTTGAAGCTACGTGCCAACTCGAAATTAGAAGTTATGTGGGACTTTCTTTACGCTGTGCTGCTCCTCGCCAACTCTCTCGCTGTTTTGAACGAGCAGCGGTTCCTTGTACCATGTAATCCATGATGCTTCTTGACGTTATTGACTGGTGCTTGGGATTAGTTCCTTGTCTAAGCTTCGTTTTGCGGTTGCAGATGGGCTAGGATTTCATCAACTCTCTAATGGACAAACGACGCCGCTTAAGGTTCAAGTGGTCGGGTTGATACATGCAGTGCAATATCTACGTGGTACGGAAGGGTACGAGGAGCATTGGAGCATCGGAGCCTTATTTTCATTAGATTCTCCCGTAACATCACTGCTTTTTTCTGGAGCTCCATTTCATGATGAAATGCTGTCCGCTTACTGACCATTCTTTGGCTACTCGCAGTGCCGTTGATCGCCGCCAACATCGTTACGATATTCTTCAAGCTTCTTTTTGCCTAAGCACATCATCCGACCTTTGGCAGTGGCGGTAGTCTAATACGTCTTCGTACGTCTGACTCTCCTGAATCCCGATGCCAGTGACTGGTGAACGACTTATTCAGCTGTCTAAGACTTACCAACCCCTGAACAGTGCTCTCTGTAGTATTTCCTAGAAGCGCTTATGGTACCCCAATCCTGCCCTCTCAGATGGGATAGCTGCCCTTCAGTTTACTGGAGGAATACACCGGAGAGATTACAAGCATCTAGGAGCTTCGAATGCATGAGCAATTTTCGGGGTACATGCTTCATTCATCTTGTTATTGGGCCTGATTCTACAGTATGCCTCTAGCCTCACTGAATTGGCTTCAAAGCCCAAATGGATTTACCCAAAAAGTGAAAATGACAGAATGGTGCAGATGCTGAGTGCTAATTGAAACGAGCCAAATGTCATCGCAACCAGCTCTTGTGACATAAGCAACTGTTAGTAGTGTAATTTCGTGAGTACGCTAACCGAGTTGCTGTTCGAAGAGCTGGCGTGTCCAGCGCGGTAAAAACCCTACTCAACCGTTTTAGATTTGTTATTTATCCTTCTGATCCATGAGGCACCTCACCCAACCGTAATCAAACGTACGCGCTGGACACGCCCTGAACCACACTACTGACCACACCAGCGAAACAGCGACAACACCACAAGGGAGCATTTCGTCATCTGGCAGCAGTCCTCCACTTGTCCCCTATCTCCTAGTTAGTGGACTGCCGACTTCATCAGTTAGTTCACTCACAATGGCCAAGGAGCTTGACATCATGAAGGAAGTCAGGGAAGTGCTTCGAGGTTGGTTTCCGAACTCTATATCACCTATTGTACGCCACTAACTGCTCCGCTACTGTTGTCGTGTCTTCTGTTCATAACAATAGTTGTCGTAGCTCCCGCTAATGGCCTTCTTCCCAGCATCTGCTCCTCTTCAGCAGCGAATGCTTGACATGGTCACTGCAACCACGATTAGGAGCACTGCTGTCTGCTCCAACTCCCCGCACTTCGCCGTTTTCACACGTTCAACGGATACTCGCAACAGCGTCGTCGACAGCATCATGAACAGCACCAGCACGTCATGGGCTGTTAGTCCATCAACTCCCACCGCCAGATCTTCCTCTATGACGCACATTCAACGGTCAACAGTTCTCGGCTCGCGATCGAGCCCTAGCTTCATATCGCCTCCTTTCTTACCGCTCTCATCGTCGGTGCCATTTCCCAATCATGTACTTTCTTCCGCTTACAGCAGCGTTGAGCATCATGCTCTTCCACGTCATGCATCTCTTCCACCCGTGACTGCCCGTGCACGTTCGCGCTGGGCTTCCCGCCGGACGGAACCCGTTAGGAGCACCCAGCAGCAGCAGCAGCAAGAGCGGGGAACGCGGGAGGGGGTGTTTGTAGACGTGGTGGTCCGCGGTCAATCGTCCACGAAGCACGACGCAGTGCGGCTGAGCGAGACACGGAAAGGAGTGTCAGGGGAGGCAGCAAGCGCTGGGATCACATCCGAGGGGCAACAGGCCCGGACAGGCACAAGGGGACAGAGACTGACGGCTGGGCAAGCTGCAGCGCCTGTGAGTGAATCTGGTCAGCACAATCACTTTTTCCAGTCCTTGAAGGTTTCCCATTTTAGCAGCAGACCTTATGCGAGAATCGGCTGAGTAGTTTTTTGTCGTGGAGATTGTTTAACCAGTCATCTCATACGCCACTTTCTTTCCCCTTTCTCCCACGCTCCTTGTATCTCCCAAACATCCCCTGTCCATTTCCCTTCTATGGCAACCAGCCCGTCGCAAGCCATCGTGCAGGCTTGCTGTCCTCCATTCCCCCATGGGCATTGGCAGCAGGGGGGGCCTCGCTGCTGCTGCTTCTGGCTGCTGCTGCAGCGGCCTCTGCTCAGCGGCTGAGAGGAGGCAGGGAACGGAGCGTGGACTCTCTTGCAAGAAGAGGATTCGTTTCTGAAGATAGAAGCGTGCCGTATGTGGCCCTCCCTTGAACTCGCTCACTTTTCCTCATCCCATACTGACTGGCCTATCTGCAGTTCCTTCCCCCACTGGTCCTGTCAGTTCTCTTCAAGCTTATCCTATCACCCTGCTGCATTCCCTTCTGTCCAATCCCATTAGCCCAACACTTCCGTTATCCCCCTTCTGCATTCCCTACACTACATGCCCTTCTACCTTTGCGCTTCCCAACTCTTCCCATCTCAGGCTGAACGTGATATCGCAATACGACGACCCCACTTCAGTGCTCAACTACCGCATTGGAAACTCGATGCTGGTTGAGATGGAGCCACTGCCGCCGCTCACCGCCGAGAAGATGGAATTCCACAGGCAGCAGCGGCAGAAGGAGCACGGCTGGAAGAAACCACAGGTGCGGAATGCTCTGCTTATGCTCCCGCTCCTTCATCCTCCACCGACCCCAGGGAGTGGTGGTGGTGGTTTCACATGGTAGCCGCTGTTGTTTGACAGTATGCATCACGTTCATTCTACTCTCATCGCCCCCAACCTTCCGCCCTCTGCAGGTGGTGCTGGTGGAGGGTGATCCTGTGCCAGAGGGAATTGATCCCATGACAGTGCGCTTCATTCCCAGGAGACATCCATTTGCACTCAACCAGGTAGTCTGACTCTCCTTGTCTCACCACGTCTCCTCCTCCTATTGGCGTCCTTGCCTTGTCGAGAGTTTGCTCCAGCACGTCTTGTATTCACAAGTCCTGATTTTCCCTGCTCCGTACCGTGCCTTGCAGTAACAGTGAATTTACTTTACCTTCAAAGCCTGCTTTCCTATCATCCCCTCCCTCTCCCCTCCCCCCCCCTCTCAGGATGAGAGTGAGGAGCAGCCATCAGAGAAGGTGGCGCAGCGGCAGCAACGGTGAATATTCCTCGAAGGCCTGCATTTCTGTTATCCCCTCCCTGTCCCCTTCCCTCCAGGATGAGAGTGAGGAGCAGCTATCAGAGGAGGTGGCGCGGCGGCGGTTGAAGCAGAGGAGGGGGCGGCCGGAGAAGGAGCAGGAGCGAAGCCGCAGGCAGCTGCAGCAGCTGCGGCAGGAGGTGGAAGGGAGGGAGAGGAGGGCAGTTGACAGTGATGCTGGGAGGGATGTTGGTGGACAAGGGATGGGCTTTTAGGTGAGTGAGTGGTTGCGGCCAGGGAGTGAGAGGGGGAACAGCGAGTGTTTCGGAATGGAAAGGGCGAGGAGAGACGGAGGGATGAGGGGGAGGGCGGGAACAGAAGTGGGGAAGAAGGAAGGGTGTTTCTGTGTGTGGAAATGTTGGAGGGAGAGTCGAGGAGGGGTGAGGAAGCGAGTGGGACCCCTTGCTCCTATTTCACTCCTCTTTCTGTCTCTCATCAGTTCCTTATCCATGTACTCTCTTCGTCCATCTCACCGCTTCCCATCCCTTCCCATCCCATCCCATCCCATCCCATCCCATCCCATCCCATCCCATCCCGTCCCGTCCCATCCGGTCCCATCTCATCAGCAACGGGGGGGGGGGGTCTTCTCATGCAGGTACCACACAGTAATTAAGAGTGGCATCCAGACATTGGATTTGTGCTGTAATGTTGCCAACATGCTTCTGCTTGGAGTCAGCTTCTGCACTCAACCGTGGTGACACCCACCTGCAGAAGACATGGCCCACTCACTCACTCACTCACCCACACTCACTCACTCACCCACCCACTCACCCACTCACTCACTGTAACTCACACCTAATTTTAGTAATTAGATGTCGCTCACAACCCTGCCGCCTTTGGCCTAGCTCCACTACGTTTATTCTACCTCTTTCTTTGTTCTGCTGCACTGCACATGCACTGGTACGGTATCATAGCTAGACAACAAGGGATGATATGGTGTCGTGGACACAACCAGGACAAGGCATTGCTGTACAGTAGAACTTGAACTAACATTGCCCGGACCAAGCATGCTTTGGATGGCAGCAATCTCCATCAGATTCGCGAAACAATGTGATGACCCAGTAGTGTAGATGCATTTGGTATGAGATGAGATCCTTTCATACCGGTACTTGAAGTATAAGTGTGTTGGCACTTGCGTTTTGGTTACACATTTAGCGATGCCATTTTCCTCTAGCTAGTTACAAAACAAGTAACCTTCATCTCCCAGCCTAACATCCAAAGCCCGATTACACCTCTGGATGCTGTGACACATCAATCATGCCAACCCCCATAGCCCCCTCCCCCTCTTCTTGAAAATACTCCGCATACACGTCAGCAAGTTGCCTTGCCACATCATCCATGCTCGGGCGGGTGGCAGCGGGAGAAGCGACACAAGCAGTGGCGATATCCCCAAGGGTTTGGAAGGCGGGGGTGAGGTCAGGGGAAAAGACCCGGGGGTCGATAATGAGATGCACCTCACCCTCTGCTACGTAGTGCACCGCCTGCATTGGGGGGGGGAAGGGGGGGAGGGGGGGAGAGGTGACGATGAGAGACGAAGGTATGCAAGGAGGCATGGAAGCATGGGTTGATTGATACCTCAACGTGACGGGACCTTGCACTGTAGGGCGCAACATGCGTTAGAGAGAAGGAATTGTGATGGAGGCAGTATGTGGAGGGACAACTAGTGGTGGGAGGGAGCAGTGCGGTGCAGTGCAGTGCAATTCGGTGCAGAGCAGAGCAGGCGAGTGGCATGGAGAGGCAGAACCAGCAGCAGCAGCAGGAGGCACTGACCCAGTCGGTGATGACCATGTTGTCGCAGGGGTTATCTGGGTCAGGCACTACTGCCAGTCGCCCTGTCAGCAGCTCCAGTAGAATCACTCCAAAGCTGACAACAGAGGGGTAAGGGGGGGGGGGGACAGGAGGTACGCAAAACGGAACAGAGGGAGAGTGAGGGGGAGAGACAAGGGAGTCGAAGAGGGGGTGGCGGGTAGGAGGGGGGAGGGGTGGGAGTTAAGGAGAACCAACACCTCAGAAGTGCAATCTCTGCGTGGTGCCTCATGGTGCCTCACGGTGCCTCAAGGTGGTGCCTCACGGTGGTGCCTCACGGTGGTGCCTCATGGCGCCTCATGGTGCCTCATGGCGCCTCATGGTGCCTCACGGTGCCTCACGGTGCCTCATGGTGCCTCATGGTGCCTCAGGGTGCCTCGTGGTGCCTCATGGTGCCTCATGGTGGTGCCTCACGGTGGTGCCCCACGGTGGTGCCTCACGGTGGTGCCTCATGGCGCCTCATGGTGCCTCACGGTGCCTCACGGTGGTGCCTCACAGTGGTGCCTCACGGTGGTGCCTCACGGTGGTGCCTCATGGCGCCTCATGGTGCCTCACGGTGCCTCATGGTGCCTCCTGGTGCCTCCTGGTGCCTCATGGTGCCTCATGGTGCCTCACGGTGGTGCCTCACGGCAGTGCCTCCTGGTGCCTCCTGGTGCCTCCTGGTGCCTCCTGGTGCCTCCTGGTGCCTCCTGGTGCCTCCTGGTGCCTCCTGGTGCCTCCTGGTGCCTCCTGGTGCCTCCTGGTGCCTCGTGGTGCCTCATGGTGCCTCACGGTGGTGCCTCACGGTGGTGCCTCACGGTGCCTCACGGTGCCTCCTGGTGCCTCCTGGTGCCTCATGGTGCCTCATGGTGCCTCACGGTGCCTCACGTTGGTGCCTCACGGTGGTGCCTCATGGCGCCTCATGGTGCCTCACGGTGCCTCATGGTGCCTCCTGGTGCCTCCTGGTGCCTCATGGTGCCTCATGGTGCCTCACGGCGCCTCACGGTGGTGCCTCACGGCAGTGCCTCCTGGTGCCTCCTGGTGCCTCCTGGTGCCTCCTGGTGCCTCCTGGTGCCTCGTGGTGCCTCATGGTGCCTCACGGTGGTGCCTCACGGTGGTGCCTCATGGCGCCTCATGGTGCCTCACGGTGCCTCACGGTGCCTCAGGGTGCCTCAGGGTGCCTCCTGGTGCCTAACTGGTGCCTCAACAAGGGTGTGGTATCAAGCTCTCCCCTTGGCGACTCTTTGCAAACAGCTCGATCATCTCAGTGCCTTCTCATGATGACCACTTGTACACGCCGGTCTGCTGCGGAGTGAGCGCCTGTGTGGGCAGGTGCAGGTCCGCAATGGGGGGTCCCGGTACCCCTCCGGCCCCTTTAAGACAACCCAAACACATTCCCCACCCCCTCACCCTCCCCCCACTCCCTCTTCCTGCTCCCTGCCATGCATATACCCTCACACAGCCTCGCTTTCACAAGTAAAAAGATCGAGCAACCCAGCAGGGCCTCCCCACCTGTACACGTCGGTCTGCTGCGGTGTGAGCGCCTGTGTGGGCAGGTGCAGGTCCGCGATGGCGGGGTCCCGGTACCCCTCCTGCTCCACTGCCTCTGGCACCGCGTTGATGCGCCCCTCGCTGTCGTGATGCACGAAGCAAAAGTCACCTATCTGCGGCTGGTGGGGTGCAGAAAAGGAAGGGGGTAGGGGGGGGGTGGGGGTGGGGAGAGAGCGTGTTTGGGGGGGAGAGTGGGTGGGGATGGGGATTGCACAGGAGGAGTGGTGTGCTACTGCCTCTGGCAGCACGACAGTTGACGAACCTGTCACTGTCGTGATGCACGGAACAGAAGTCGCCTTTCTGCGTCTGGTGGGGTTGGAGGGAGGAGGGCAGGAAAATTGAGGGCAGGGGAATTGAGGGCAGGGGAATTGAGGGCAGGGGAATTGAGGGCAGGGGAAACGGATGGCAGCAGAAACGTATGGGAGGGGAGTGGGAGGGGGGAAGCAGTGGTAGTCTTGGGGGTACCTGCAGCGAGGGCGTACCTGCAGCGAGGGCGTACCTGCAGCGAGGGCGTACCTGCAGCGAGGGCGTACCTGCAGCGAGGGCGTACCTGCAGCGAGGGCGTACCTGCAGCGAGGGCGTGAGCATGATGTTGGAGGGCTTGAGGTTGCGGTGGATGAGCGGCGGGTGCTGCTGGTGCATGAACGCCAACCCCTCCGCCACGCCCACCGCGATGTGCAGCCGCTGCTCCATCGACATGGGCGAGTCTGCGGGCGGGCAGGCAATATACACATGCACAGGCAGACGGGCAGACGGGCAGACGGGCAGACGGGCAGACGGGCAGACGGGCAGAAGGGCAGACGGGCAGAAGGGCAGACGGGCAGACAGGCAGACAGGCAGACAGGCAGACAGGCACACAGGCAGACAGACACATAAAGGAGGGTTACATGTCGTAAGCAACGGGGTTCCAGGTAGGGCGATATACAAGTATCCATGGGGCAGCTGAGCATGCACCCCCATCTAACCATGCATGTGACAGTAGATAAAAAATGTTCAAGAATCCCGAAGAAAAATCACGAAGACAAATGGTAAGCCTGTCTCACCGCAGGGCGCATGCAGGTTGTCTCGCAGCGACCCATGCGGGAGCATCTGGTACACCACCAGGTGCTCGTGCCCCTCGCAGCAGTACCCCACCACCGGCACCAGGTGCACATGCCCGTGCCGCGCATACGCCTCCACCTCCTCCTCAAAGCTCCTCCCCCTGTCCCCCACCCGCCAGCTAAACCGCCCGTACCTCTTCACCGCCCACTCCGTCCCCCCTCCTCCTCCCCCCCCGCCACCTCTTCCCCCCAGCCCCTTCCCCAGCACACCCCCCGTGCCCCCTCGCCCGTCGTCGCATCTCCGGGTGTCTTTGTCCGGGGCGATAAGGCTCGAGTCAGCGCGGAAGACGGAGCCGTACGCGCCCCCGTGGCCGTCCCGGTGCAGACGGCGCCGCAGGTCAAAGCGGTGGGTGGCGCGCTTAAGGTCGTCCAAGCGGAAGCGGCGGCACAGAGGAAGGGAGGAGCGGTAGGATCGGGAGCCGGAGGCGAAGGAGGAGGGGGGAAAGGTGGGGAAGTTTGGGGAGGCGATGAGCTCGTCGTACGCCATGATTCGCGATGCTCCTGGTGGAGGGGGGGGTTAGGGGTAGGGGTAGGTGGGATAGGGGTAGGTGGGGTAGGACAAGGGGAGTGGGGTCAGGGGTGACTTTTGAGAACGCCTAAAAGACCGGGTAAGGGAGATGCTACCGACTAGATTTACGACGAGAGAGGTGAACCTTGTGGGTGAGGGGGGTTGTTCAGAGCGAGTGGGGCTGGAAGTGGATGGGGGGAAATAGCGCGGATTTCGCTGCGCAATGGCCAAGGGCGAGTAGACTTTTGAGTCGAGGTGACTTTTGAGTCGACTTTTGAGTTGAGGTGACTTTTGAGTCGACTCAAAAGTCACCTCAGTGGGTGGGGGGAAATAGCGCGGATTTCGCTGCGCAATGGCCAAGGGCGAGTAGGTGGCAGAGGCAGCAAAGACGGAGAGAGGAGACATATAAGGGAGGTTCGCGGGAGGGGGAAAACCGAGAGACAAGGCAAGAACGAAGAGAGGCAGAGAGAGAGGGGCAGTGGGATGGGATGGGACCCCAAAGCCTCTCCATCACCGGGCCTTGAATGGACCATGGAAGCCCATAACAACTGTTCTAACGCCAGCAGGCAGGCAGGCAGGCAGGCACACAGGCTATACCTAATGGGTGGCGCCTCAAGCGGATGAAAACAGCAAGCACAGCAGCCAGGGCGGCAGCAGAGGAGACGACGATCACTGCAATGAGGAGCGGAGAGAGCGCGGAGGACGAGGAGGAGGAGGTGGCGTCTGGCTGCCAGGGGGTGGCTGTTGCTGCCTTGTCAAACACTGGTGGAGATCCCAGCTCTGTACGTGTGGAGGGGCGGAGGGGGAGAGGTGTTTGGGCGGGGGGAAGGGAGGGTGAGAGTGGGAGAGAGCGAGAGGGGGAGGGGGGGTGAGGGCGTGGAGGAAGGCACAGACGATAGGGAGGGGGAAAGCAACAGTGTGAAGGGGGGTTGTGGGAGAGAGTGGGAGCGAGCGTGGGGGCGAGCGAAGGGGGTTGAATTGGCGAGAGCGTTGAGGTGTGTGTGGTGCATAGGAGCATGTGAGGGGAGTGAATCTGTGAAGGTGAATACACGAGGGTGAATATGTGAGGGTGAACTTGCTTCCGTGCATGGATATGTGAGAGAGTGAGTAAGAGTGAGAGAGTGAGGTAATAGTGAGAGAGAGATATAGAGGGTGCAAAAGGAGGAGCAGAAGCGCACCTCGGAACGACCACTGGGTGATAACATACTCCACGCCCCGCCCACTCCCACTGAACCCCACAAACACCGGCTCCTCATCCACATCATCCCCCACCCTCCCACCGCCATCACTGCTGCTCCCCCTCCCCTTCCCCTCCCCCTCCCCCCGCCCCACCAGTCGTACCCCCCTAGAGCATCACAGAGGTCCAACTGTGCGCGGAGAATGCGCGAGTGCTCCACCTGCCGGCCCTGCCGCTGCTCCCACTCCCTCTGCCGGTCTGCTTCAAACGCAAGCGGGCAGTGGTGCGCCGTGGCGCGGGGCCGGGTGAAGCTCACGGAGAGAGTGTGCGAGGGGGCGCAGTACTCCACCCACACACTGTGCGGCTGGCCGTCGGTTAGAGCAGCCGCCCCCGCATGCTGCTGCTGCTGCTGCTGCTGCTGGTTGGTGTTAGAGCCGTTTGCAGCAGAGGCAGCAGGTAGAGGCAGGGAGGAAGCGGCATTGGCAGCCAGCAGCGATTTCATGCTGCTGCCGATGCGCACGCCCACGTACTCCTTGGGGGGTGACTTTAGCGGCGTGCCCGCTGCTGCTGCCTGCTCCTCGGGATTGTCCTGCCAGCTGGCGAAGGACACGGCTACCCCGTGCTCGCATGCTGCCAGTGCTATATCTGTCCCGGTACTATCTAACCACCCGCTGCTGCTGCTGCTGTTGCTGCTGCTGCTGTTGCTGCTGCTGCTGTTGCTGCTTGCTGTTTCTGTCTCCCCGTCCCCCCCCTCCCCTGCTAGTATCTCACCGTCAGGCGCAGCAGGGGCACATGAGTGACCAAACCCTAACCCGAGCCCTCCCCCTCCCGCTGTAGGCTGCCCCGTTATAAGAAACGAAAATCCCCCGAAGAGTGCGTGCACTCCCCCCCCGCCTGCCCCTGCACCTGCTCCTCCCCGTCCCCCCACCGCCCCTAGCGCCACTCCCCCGCCCGCCACTTTCCCCGCGCGCGGGCCCTTCCCTGCTGCCTTCTCAAGCCCCTCAGCTTCCCCCGTTCCCCCTGCGCCCCCCTCGTCGGCGGACGCGTCGAAGGGCGCGCGCGTGGCGGAGAAGGTGAAGGCGGTGAGAAAGGAGCGCGCGGCGCAGAGGCCCGCGGAGGCGTCCTTCAGAATAAGCTGCTGGGGCGCGGGGAAGAACGCTGCGCCCGTGGTGACGAGATGCGGGGAATGCGCGGGTGGCGGAAGCGCGCCGTTGGGGGACGCTTCAGGCGCACCAAGCGCAGCGGAAGGCGCGCGGACGACGGGGGTGAGGGTGATGTTGGCGGAGCCGGCAGTGGCGAAGGCGGAGAGGAGCAGAGGCAGGGGGGCAGCGGGGGCGGGAGGCGGAAGGGCGAAGCGCATGATGCGCGGGTGGCGGGGGTCTGTTGGACCGCGTGTGGCGGAGATGAGGGGTGGAGGGGGGAGGGGAAGGGGGGAGGGTGGGGGGGAGGGAAAGAGGGAAGGCGTAAGTAAAGACACACAACCCACCAGGCCATGTCCCCCCTCCCCCCACAATACCTCCTCTCCCCCCCTTACCTCTCACCCTCGCCGCCACACCCCCCTCCCCCCGTCTTCTCTCTCCTCCCCTTGCGCTTTCAAGTCTTACCCGCTACTTTCGGGAGCGCGATGACCGAGACGCCGTCAATCACGGTGCTGTTATCCGCCATGGCCACGATAAATTTCACTACCGTGGTCGCGTTGTCCGCCACGTAATCCACCGATCCCATGCTCCATCCCCCCAGCACCGACGGCGCGGCTCCGCGCGCCACCGCCGCCGCGACCGCCGCCGGCAGCGCGAACCGCGCCCGCTCTTGCCCGAATCGCACGCGTAGGTTGACCGACCGTTGCCGGGCAGCCCGGGCAGTGAAAAAGAACGTCAGCCGGTAGCGCATGCCGGGACGCGTGGGAATGCGCTGCGACACTCCCCCCCAGCTGCACCCGCGATTACCGCTCCCCCCGTTGCTAGTGTCCCCCGCGTCGCAGCCCGCAATCTCGAGCGCGCACGCGCCGTGGAAGGGCGCGGCGGTTGCGGCGGCTTCCGCGGCCTCCGCCGGGGAGGCGGGCGCGGGAGCGGAAGCGGGGCAGATGTGGGCAACGTGCCCCCGCGCGCGCCAATGCTGCGGGCGCGCGGGGAAGGCTGGGCCCTCGAAACTGGGGTTCTGGAGGAGATTGGCTGGCGGAAGGGGCGCGCGGAAACACGGGGGAAAAGGGCGGGGGAGTTGGTACAGTGACATCAGGCGCAAAGTGACGCGATCACTGGTGGGGTGCAGGCATATCTTGAGTTAAACAATGCATACTGGACTCAAAATATACCAGGCATAGGGAAGGTCAGCTGGGTTCACAACGACCGTTACTAAGAGCGATATCCAGCAAACCCTTATGTTATGAACGTGTAGTACTAAAGGCCTACCCAGCATGTGCGGCATGTGATACGCCATGATGCTTGCGTGGCTCGCGTTCCCGTTCGCCGTGCAGGGGGTGCAGGCATGGGGAAGGTTTGCTGGGTCAACAACGACTGTTAAAAGCGAAACCCGGCAAACCCTCATGTTCGGAACGTGCTGTATTGAAGACCTACCGAGCATGTGCGGCATGTGATACGCCATGATGCTTGCGTGGCTCGCGTTCCCGCTCGCCGTGCCGTTGCCAGTAGCACCGCCTCTCGCCGCCGCTCCCCCATCACCACCACCACTTGCATCACCGCTCGTGTCACCACTCGCGACGCCACTCGCCGCGGGACCGGTATTGTCGACAGCGGTCGTTCTGGCGACAACGGTGCGAGGGCTGGAGAGCAGCGCCAGCAGATGCAGCAGCGCTACCCACCCGCATGTGACTATAACGGGCCTGCGCGCGGTACGGTAGCTGCCGCTATGCTCCCGGCAATCATATCGCCGTCGGCCGCTTCGTGCTGTGATGTCTTGAGCACGCGCCTCCATGCCGCCGGACTCGGAGCGTTGTTCGCGGCACGTCGACGTGGCGGTTGTTGATTCGCTGGCGTGAGCAAGCTGGTCTCTGCTGACGTGTTCGACGGTGCGTAAGCTATGCATGCTACAGATGCTACAGCACGCGACCGGGGAGCTGAAACTGCTGCTGACGCACCTATCGGAGTGAGCATGTGCGGCTCGAGCGTCTAGCGAGGGTGTTACTATCGCAGAGAACGTGGTGCTGGCACTCGCCATCCTGCGAGTCAGTCAGTAACGGGTGTGCGAGAGCCCGTGAAGGCAGCTGAACCTTGTTCGTCGGTCCACGTGTAAGTGGTCTAAGAAATGGTGCATGATAGTCAGATTGACTTCTCGACGGGGAGAGCGCAGCAGTCTAGGCGCGCAGACGAGGCAAGGAGAGCAATGTACAGTGCTGTACAGTAGCTACACACAAGGACACAATGTGAGGAGTGGTCTCTAGGTTTCTGGTGGACGAGGAAGAAATTGGTAGACTGGGCTCTGTGTTGAGTTCACGAGGGGAGGGGGGTAGCATTTGCAGGGGGGGATCGGATCGGAGACATCGGGGTAGAGGAGTAGGGTTGCGCAAAGTAACACTGAGGATTACGGGTAGACGACAAGAGGGTGGTGAGAACATTCTGATGGGTGATGGGTGGTTGGCTCGCACGCGCACGACCCATGCCGGGCACGTGAGACGGGAATGGCTAGTCTGATTCCCACTAATTTCTGCGCGGTTATGATGGATACAGATGGGTACCCAGAGGCTGCATCCTACATGGGGATGCGGCTTCACCAGCCCAGCGAAGAATAGACACTTGCCGAAATGTACTGTAACAGGTCTTCGTTACTCATCGTGGAAGCCGCCAGACTATCACCTTGCTGTGTTGGGTTCCGCTCCGCAGGGCCTGTTCGAAACGCGATTTCCCTTGGCGGATTGTGATTGGCTCAGGTAGCGCCCATTCTCCTGCGGCTGCGAGATGGCTGGCGCTGGGTTGTGTTGTGGTGTTTCTAGAAAACCTTTGCCCCTGGTCTCACTGGACTGCACTGGGCTGGTGCAAAAACCGCCCTTTGAGCACCAGCACGGCCACGCAACTCCGCGGTACATCTCAGCTAAACTAGCCGCTGCGCTGCTGCGGGTCGGATCAGATGAAACGTGAGTATGGTAGAGCCTGGATTGGCTAGACAGGCTGTTATTCAGGTTGAGCTTACGGGCGCTGCACCAATCAGCTACGCCAAGGGAGACAGCTTTGACGTCAGGGCATTTTCCAGACCAGGCCTCCTGTACTGTTGCAGCACCCACACCGCATACACAGTAAAGAGTCCTTTCCTTTCATTGGCTAAATCACCTATGCTCGTTTTACACGTGACAAAGCATGTTCACCAGGTTTAGCTGCTAAAAAACGTCATCTATTGAAAATTAATTTTCATCATCTTATTCAAATATTTGAGGCTAGGAATAATTAACCAGCTTACTTGAAGCCTTTAATACAAACTAATAAAATAGATAGCTGTTCGATATTTTATTAGAGATTATAGTCTCGAATTCATCTCACCAACATCAAGCTTGTTGTGCATACGTTCACATTGAATAGTGAAATCATTTTCTGTTAGTCTACTTGTGTAGCATCATTTCAACTATTTTCGTTGTCGCTAGCATCACCTTCGTCAAACTCACCGAGCCCTCCATTGAAATCTCAATCTCCCAGGCACTTCATTTCAGCAGGCCTTATGTTCCGCGTTTCGCGTGCATCAAGAGAACCTTGGGCGCATGCTTCTGTGGCATGGGGTAAACAAAGAGCACAAGTGAAATGAGTGGCGAGGCCAAGGAGGTCTGCAGCAGCATGGCGGAACATCCTTGTGGTGTCCCCCTCCTTGGCTGGCTCGAAAACGATTTACGGGCAGATCCGCCAGCTCATTCCTAATTGTGTGGAGTGACCATCACGCAATTTAGGGCGGGTCCCTGTTGGGCTGAGAAATGCCCTTGGGATCTTTCCAGAGACTAAGTCCCAGCTGTAGAGACTTGAGACTTGAGTAGTGCAGCGGAAGTTGAGGCAGTTGAACCCTTGTACTAGTATCTGAGAACAAGTGATTGATTAAAGAAACAAGCATACAGCAATATATAGAAGATAAGAAAGCAGTTATAGAATACAGTTACAGGAACGGTTTATCGAGTCGCACAGCGACTCGATTGCCGCTTCGGTTACCATCCGTGATGTTGTAACGGTCAGTCGCAACCTCCAGTTGCGACCTTTCGAGTATTTTCGCATTCTTTGTCCGCCCCCTCGTGTAACCTCCGTTGACTCGCGTGCTCCCCTGTAATCTTCCTCGAGTGCAGTGTTACACTTCAGAAACGCTTAAGTCCTTTCAGATATTTCCAACACTCCCCTTCGTTTCTGGAGTGCTGGCGTGTTTAGATCCGGTGACGTTTGTTTGCCCGGTCAGGAGCATGCAGTAGTCGAATTTTGCTTTCGCCAATTTCTTCGTCAGATAATCTGCGGCCATTTCTGTCGTCGGGCAGTAACTGAGTTGAAGTCTCCCCTTCGCGATTTCATCATTGACGAAGAAGTACCGCAGGGCGATGTGCTTGGATCGGTTGGCGAAGCCGTCCTTGTTCGCGATTTTGATCGCAGATTGGTTGTCGCAGAGGAGTGAGAAGGCGGGCAGGGTCGCAATCTTCGCTTCCTCGAGTAACTCTCGTAGGTAGAGTCCTTCCTTGGTCGCAGTACAAAGGGCGATATACTCTGCTTCAGCCGAGGATAGTGCGATTAACTCCTGCTTGCTCGACTGCCAGGAGATAGTTCCGATAGGTTCTAGTCGGTAGATGTAGCCCGTCCTAGATCGTCGATTTTCCCTGTCTCCCGCGTGGTCGGCGTCGACGTATCCGAGTAGTCGTACGGACGGTGTTGTTGCTTTGCTATAGGTAAGCCCGATCGTCGGCGTGGAGACGAAGTAGAGTAGTGCCCGGTTGAGCTCTTCTAAATCTTCCTGTTCCGGCTGCTTCAGATGCGTCGCCAGTTGACTCGCACCATAGGACAGGTCGGGTCGGCAGGTTACTGCTGCAAATAGTAGGCAGCCGAGCTTCTGTTGATACTCCTAAATTTGCTTCGCGGGGAGTTTTGCGGAGGTGCTGTTGTTGTTCCCGTAGCAGTAGGGAGTTGGGACCGTAGTCGGCGTTAGACCGAATTTCTTCGCGACAGTGCCTGCGTATTTTCCGGCGTGTAGGTAGAACGCCGAGTTGTCTTCGACGACATTCAGTCCTAGGTACAGGGTCACTGTGTCAGACACCGTGAGTGTCAAGTCCCTTTTCAGCTCCCCTTCGAACCAGGTGGTGATGTCGGTAGTGGAACCGATGTAGAGCAGGTCGTCGACGTAAACGATGAGTAGGATACACTCTCTTCCCTTCTGCAGTCGGTACATCCCTTGGTCATGTGGCAGCTGTAGGAATCCGATTTTTGCGAGGCGACCGTGAAGATGCTGCTGCCAGAGCCACGGGGCTTGCTTGATCCCGTATAGGGATTTTATCAGTTGGCATACTTTCGTGGGGTCGTCGATGAATCCGTGGGGTTGCTCGACGAAGATCTCAGCGTCCACAGGTGCGTACAGGAAAGCATTTGCGACGTCGATTTGGCGTAGTGGTAGTTCCTTCGTGGCCGCGACGGCGAGTAGAATGCGCAGGGAGGTGTGACGGGAGACTGGGGCGAAGGTTTCTGTGTAGTCGGTTCCGTATCGTTGATCGAAGCCTCATACGACCCATCGAGCTTTGAATCGTTCGGTGGAACCGTCCGTATTGGTTTTGATGCGGTACACCAATTTTCCCGAGAGGACGTTCTTCCCGTTGATGCTTGTTGCAGGTACCAACTTCCATGTATTTCGGTCTTGCAGAGCCTTTAACTCCTTTTCCATCGCCTCCTTCCATTTCGCCTTGTGTTCCCCCCCCAGAGCGTGCGACAGAGTCGAGGGCTCGCGCGGAGATGGCGGCGGTGGATGCTGGACGGAGACCCAGAGGCCGAGAATTTGCAGTCCCGTGGGTGTGTGTCGAGGGGAATTTTCATTCCCGGAATAAGCTGCTTGGTCACCGTCTTCTGGGTCAGGTAAGAAATTGGGGCCGATGCGTTCTGAAACGTTTGTGTCGACTGGGTGGGGTGTAATGTAACCTTGGTCAGCGAAGTGGTAAAAGGTGTCGAGGTTGCTACTATCGAGAGGGTTGCCTTCGTCGAGTGGAACAGGTACGGAACAGAAAGGGAGTGGTCCGGCAGCTTCCGAGGCTTCAGGTACGTCTTCTTCTGCTGCGTCAGCTTCGGCAGCACGGTCGGTGAAGGAACGAAGTCCCGAGAAGCCGTCGGTGGGGTCTTGTGTGTTGGCAATGTTGTCCAGGTAATGCTGCAGCGTCAGTCGCTCGTAGAAGATAACGTCACGTGATGCCACTGTATTTTTGTCTTGTATGTCGAGAATTTTCCATGCGTGAAAATGTTTTGCGATGCCGAGGTGTAGTCCCCACCGAGCTCGTTGAGTGAATCATCCTGCTCGGGCTGTGTGGGGTCTGTACTGTACCATGCAGCCGAAAACTCATAGTAATTTTGTGCTGCCCCTTTTTCGTGTCCATAGGAGGTGCGGTAATGCGTTGTTGGGAAGTGATGACGAGGACAACAGGTTGTGCAGGTGAACTGCAGGGGTCATCGCATCTGGCCACAGTGCGGTGGGCAGCCTCATCCCCAGGAGCAGCTTTCGCATCGTCGTCTGCAAGGTCCGGTTCATGCGTTCTGCGACCCCCTGCTGCTGGTGAGCGTATGGTAGAGACACCAGACGCCTGATTCCTCTTTCCCCCAGATAGGTCCTGAAGCATTGTGACTGATATTCCAGTGCACCGTCTGACTGGAAGCTTTTGAGTTTGGTTCCTGATTCCCGTTCGGCGATGGGGAGCCATGTCGTGAAGGCGTCGAAGGCTTGATCGCGCGTTTTGAGATTGTAGTGCCAAACATATCTTGTTGCTGCATCGATAAAGGTGATGACGTAGTTGAAGTCGGCTTCCGTGTCGTCTCGAGGCATGTTTAGGATGTCGCTGTAAACCTTTTCCATCGGTGCATATGCAGGCGCGCTTGGATTGTGATGTGATGGGAAGGGTTGATGAGGAAGATATGCTTCGGGGCACGTGAAGCACCGTGCGCGAGGTCGTCGAAGTTCTTGGCCGCTTGTTGTTACGAGGGCGTTGCGTTCTAACACTTCGGCTTGGATGGTTTGCAGTATTGTACTATTTGCAGGGTGCCCGAGGCGTTGGTGCCAGATGTCGTCGGGAGCGCGATGGCCGGGCGAACGGTGGTATATGTCGGTGTTGGAGAAGAACGCGATGACTGTAGCGGGACTTCGGCAGACTTCTCGTGTGATGGGCATAAGCTGGTCTGCTTCGGTCGGCGGTCCTCGGATCGCTGGTGGTGGTACTCGGCTGGGTTCTGCTGGTGCTACTGCAGGTGATGGTTGGGAAGGGACACTTGCTGGTACTTGTCTTTCTTGTCTGATGACTGCTAATGCTCGTGTTCTTTCTGCTGCAGGTATGGTGTTGGAGTGCCAGAATCCGTCATGGTCGAAGTCGGGATCAAGATCCGGCGGGTGTGTCCAGGCGGCGAACGACACGATACCGTCGCTGTCGGCAGTACCGCGGTCGGGGACGAAGTCCAACACGAAGACGCCGGACTTCAGGAGAGAACGACCGATGAAGAGGCCGCCCTTCCCGTGGTAAAGTCGAAACTCGTTGGAGTAGGAGTCGCACTCCAGGTGAATCCCTTTGGCCATTAGTTGGCTTACGCTTAGTAGGTTGTATCCCAAGTTGTCGACAATGAGGACTTTGTTGAGCTGAAGTATGACGTTTGTCTCCATGGATTGTAACTGAACCACACCTTGTCTGTTTGTTTTCAGGTTTTCGTTGTTGGCGACGGTGATGATGACGTCGCGATTGAGGCGTTTCTCTCGTTGCACGAAGCGTCCCGAAGAGCACATGTGTTGACCGCAGCAGCTGTCCAAGAACCAGGTGTTGCGCCCGGTGGGTTCGGCGTTGGCGACCGCAGCATATGTCGGATTGACTTGAAGTCCTTGTGAGCGCGGTGGCGGGAGCTCTTCTTCGTCTGGTGCGTAAGTGGGTGGTGATCCGGGTGTGCAGTTGTCGATGTGTACCATGCAGTTAATAAAGTTTGGTGTCTGTTGTGCGGATGTTAAAGAGCGCCTTGGGGGACTTTCTTGAGTGGAAGCGACCTGTGGGTCTACTGGACGATAAACGCGAGGGCGTGTGCAGTTGACCTTGGAGTGCCCGGAAGTCTGGCAGTTGTGGCAGAACGGCGGCACGAAAGTAAGTCCTCTGTTGCCGCGTCGATTGTAGTTGTTGTCGTTCCTTCGTTGAGTGTAGAAAACTAACTGCTGCTGCTTCCTTGGTTGTCTTTCTTCGAACAGGTCCATCTCCTGTTGTTCAGCGTGAAGCTCGGCGCAGAGGTGCATCTCCGAAATCCTTCCGTGAGCTCGAAGAAGCGATCGTGTGGTTCTCCATTCTGGCCCGAGCCCGGCGAGGACAAGTGTCACGAAGCTTTCTTCAGTGATTGTTCCTCCGCAACGAAGCAGGCGGTCGCGGAGGGTCTGGCAGCGACTCATATACTGCATCGCCTTTTCCCCGGTCTTCATTTGTATTGTTGTTAGTTGTTGCATGAGTCTGCTTTGTGTCACGCTGTTGTTTGCTTGGTAGAGGCACTTGAGATGGTGCCATGCGAGCTCCGCTGAGTTTCCATAGCTCCTGTATGTTCTGATGCTCTGCTGTTCTTGTGGTGACAGGTTTTTCAGGAGAACCGTATACGCCAGCAGCGACTGATACGTGAAGATTTCTTGTTCCTTTCCAGTGCCGTTGCTTGGGAATGGCAGAGACCCGTTGAAGTATCCCAGAAGGTGCGCAGCCTCCATCAGCAGCTCGAACTCGAAGCTCCAGGTAAAGAAGTCGTGTCCGTTGAACGGTGAGGATGTCTGCAGTTTAATCACGTGTGAAAACTGCGCCTGGAGACTTAAGATTTCGTTTGGTGTTTGTTGTGATGCAGCTGCTGTTGGTTGGGCACGGGGCGGCATGAACTCGAACGTTCCCGGTGAGGAGTGATAAGGCGCAAAGGTAGGCGCTTGATTGTGTCGCCCGAATGATGAATTGTCGAGGCTCATCGGCGCTTATCCCATGTTTCCTCCATTGCTCTGTGTTGAATGCGCAGGTGTCCTTGTCTGCTGCTGCTGGTCGAAGTGCGACATGAAGCTGAAGAACCTTTCCATAAGGTTTGGGTCCACGCTTGAAGAGGGCGATGGAGTTACCATCTCTGGTGCTCTTCCTGTTGTTTCTTGAGCAGTCCCGGTCTCTGTCTGCAGTCCTGGGGTGTGCAGTCCAGAGTTGCCGTGTTGAGTTTCTTGGCCGCTGGGTGAGCGCGTAGAGATTTTCTTGCCCTTGCTGTCCATGTCTTGTAATCAATGAAGTCGTTGAATTGAGTTGAGTTGCAGGTTGTTGATAGAGCGTAGTTGCTGGGAGTTTGGTCTCTGACCAGCTCTCATACCATGTTGGGCTGAGAAATGCCCTTGGGATCTTTCCAGAGACTAAGTCCCAGCTGTAGAGACTTGAGACTTGAGTAGTGCAGCGGAAGTTGAGGCAGTTGAACCCTTGTACTAGTATGTGAGAACAAGTGATTGATTAAAGAAACAAGCATACAGCAATATATAGAAGATAAGAAAGCAGTTGTAGAATACAGTTACAGGAACGGTTTATCGAGTCGCAGAGCGACTCGATTGCCGCTTCGGTTACCATCCGTGATGTTGTAACGGTCAGTCGCAACATCCAGTTGCGACCTTTCAAGTCTTTTCGCATTCTTTGTCCGCCCCCTCGTGTAATCTCCGTTGACTCGCGTGCTCCCCTGTAATCTTCCTCGAGTGTAGTGTTACACTTCAGAAACGCTTAAGTCCTTTGAGATATTTCCAACTGTCCCAATTGTTCATTTCATGGTACGGGACACGATTTTACGAATCCCGGTACAAATCCCTGAAACGATTTCGTTTCCGTAAATCTTTGTAATTGTGTCCCTATGTGCACGTGGCGCACAAGCGGGACGCCAATTGTCCACATGCGAAAAAACCGAGCTGCGCGCAACAGCACCAAACGCAGTTACCAAATGTAAGCCTGCGCGAAACATAGGTTTCGCACACCGCGCAAAAGACAGCAGGCGAGGAAACCCATCCCGCTTTTGCAAACATTGGCAGCGGCGAGCCAGGGGGGCGAATCAACAAGCGGGGGAATCTTTCCTGGCGGTCAGCGTGATGTGTGTATCAAGCATTCACCTTCGTTGCTGTTCCGAAATTTTCAGGCGCATAGCATTCACCTTCGGGCTGTCGTCAGTTCCATTGGGAAGTAGGAGTATCTGTTTTGTGTGTGTGTGTTTTTTTATATATAAAAAAATAATTCACGCCTTCTCGACGGACTTCTCGGCGGGGCCTCTTGTTTTCTGGGGCTTCTTGGGCGGGTGGGGGTGGGGAAACCAGAAACTTACCCCATTCTGTCGGCGCAGAGTGGTCCAACTAGTGGCGCGTTCGGTTGCGGGTGCGGTATGGCGTTGCGCGCGCAGATGTATTCGCGACGTCGCCCGGTTTTCGCCATCGCCAGCGGGGCTATATCCAGACGCGACACACTTGGAACCTCGTCCCCGAATCTTGCACCTTCCGTGTTTTTTACGTTTGCAATCCGAAATTGGTACATGGCCCGACGCATGGGAAAGGTGTCCCAGGTTACGTCAATATTTCAGATGTGTCCTGGCGAAACCTTTAACAAGGTTTCGCTTGTTAAAATCGGGTTACCCCGAAATGAATAGAACGTGAACTATTGGGACCCGCCCTTAGGGCACCACTTGGGGTTCACGGGCAGGCTTGGGTGGTGGTTCACCACTGCCAGTGCCACCTGGAAGTTGGAACCCGCACCTCGTCCATCCCCTCCATACCCTGTGCTCAACACCTTGACATTGTGGTCCCTCGCCCTCCTTCGCACCGACTCCATCACTCATTCCCCAGCCAAGGGTTTCATCTGCTCACATAATTTGTTAATTAGTGTGTCTGTGACTGGTTCCTAGCTTCCTACCATATCACTCAGTCTGCGTCTGTGACTCCTTCCGTAGCCAGTACCGAGCGCAACCTGCCTTTGGCCGTCTTTCAATAGATCTGATCGCTGTGTCAGTCTGAGTTTTCGGCAGCGGTGGCTTTTTAGAAAGCTGTTGTTGGCCCACCCATCCAAGGTGGAGTCTTCCAAGTTCCAGTGTTTTTTTATGTCTGTTGACACCTTCGCTGTTCTCAGGTCGGCAGGCCTGCTCGCAGAGTACTTTCCTACGACAAGGAAACGGCATGCTGGTTCTCCTCCGAGAAAGAAGGAGCTGATCGCATACACCTCCGTTTTGGCTGTTTCTGAAGAGCGTCACCAGCTTCCCGGTTGTTCTGTGCGGTGCGTGCTGCCTGCTTCTTTATCCGCCAATCCTTAAAGACCGTAATCTGTTCGTCAACGACACCATGGCTCTCGTTAATATCGGTCAGGACAACAAGGACGATGGCTTCTACCGGTACAAGATGCCGAAGCTGATTACGAAGATCGAAGGACGTGGTAATGGCATCAAGACCAATGTTGTGAACATGGTCGATGTTGCCAAGGCTCTTGCTCGTCCTCCTTCGTACACTACCAAGTACTTCGGTTGCGTGCTGGGGGCGCAGTCGAAGTTCGACGCGAAGACGGGCACTTCTACCGTGAACGGCGCGCACGACACCACGAAGCTGGTCCAGCTTCTCGAAGGATTTATCAAGAAGTACGTCCAGTGTTATGGCTGCGGCAATCCGGAAACCGAGGTTATCATCACCAAGAATCAGTGTATTACCCTCAAGTGCGCTGCGTGCGGCTTCGTCTCGGATGTCGACATGCGCGACAAGCTAACCACCTTCATCCTCAACAATCCTCCCGAGGTTAAGAAGAAGGGATCGAAGACCATGAGGCGTGCGGAGAAGGAGCGGCTGAAAGCTGGTGAGGCTCTTGATGAGGAGAAGAAGTCCAAGGTGAAGAAGTCCAAGGACGGAGAGAAGAGCTCAACTAAAAAGAGTTCAAAGAAGAAGACGGAGGATGAAGAGAAGGTGGAGTCACCCGCTTCGAGCAACAAGGATGAGGAAGAGGACGATGATGACGATGTCGAGTGGCAGACTGACACGTCGGCTGAAGCGGCGAAGCAGCGTATCAAGGAGCAGCTGAGCGCGGTGACTGCCGAGATGGTCATGGTGTCTACCGATGACAAGGAGGTGAAGAGTCCCCATCTTAACGGCATGAGTCCGCAGCAGAATGGCCACGTCTCCAAGACGAACGAGAAGCTTGAGGAGGAGCCTTTGGATCCGCATCAGACGCTTGTTTCGGAGCTCAGCGATTACATCAAGACGCATAAGCTGGCCGAGGTCGCCAACCATGTACTCAAGATGACCGTTACGAAGGAGCTTCTTGCTGCTTTGGTCGAGGCTATGATGCACGGGATCTCCAAGGGCTTCGCCAAGGAGTTCATGAAGAAGAAAGCTGTGTTTGCCGCCATCGTGAACGAGGACGAGGAGATGCAGAAGCAGCTTCTGTGCGCTCTGGAGTTCTTCTTCGCTGTCAAGGCAGGAGAGTCCAGCAAGGAGATAGCGCTTATCTTGAAGGTAAGTTCTAGCCATATTGAGTTCACTGATTCATTTGATTTCGACTTTGGGCTCATCTGTTTGGCGTCCTTGTGCAGGCTCTCTATGACGAGGATATTTTGGAGGAGGATGTGATCCTGGAGTGGCACGAGAACGGTACAAACGATATGCTTGACAAGGAGCAGGCAGCAAGTGCCCGCAAGCTGGCGGAGCCTTTTGTGAAGTGGCTGAAGGAGGCAGAGGCTGATGAGGAGGATGATGATGAGTAGTGTGGGCTGTGGCCTTGCAGTTTGGTTTTAGGAATTCATGGTGACTCTGATTCTGGTTCTTGGTGTTGGAAGTTTAAGTGTGACTTGGCATGCCATTGATGCTTGTGATAGTGCATTGGAGTGTTTTGCTAGTAGCTCGAATATGGTATTTTAACATGTGAAAAATACAAATTGTACACCTAGATTTGGGAGGCAGTATCTCGATGAGTTCACCCGATTGGTCCCCGCAGTTTAGAGTGTGGCAGCCATCAGGCCCACAACAATACTCGGTTCGGTTTCCGCGAGTAACATCACACAGCGCAGGCCACAACGGGTTGGAGGTTGGGGGAGCTGCTCGCTTCTGCTCCCCTACCACCAAGACTGCCAAACCAGATCTCCAAGGTCCACCTGGCGAGCGGCTATTGCTCGGCGGTCCCTCAAGCCCTCCCCAAAGCAAGGACCACCCCGCGATAGGTCCGCCAGTCTCAAGCCTTTCCGAATCCCCCCGAGTCCCCCAACAACCTGGCGAGGCGACACAAAAGGGCTTTGCGCACAAGAGCACAAGACTGTTGTACAAAGGCCTTTCTCAGGGCGCGGTACTTCAGAATCGAAACACCTGGTTCTCGAACTCTCACCACTCTGTCTGTACGCCGCTTTTATTCGACAGAATGAATCTAAACCGCCTTCAATCCTTCTTGAAGCCCAGAAAAATTGCCGGTTTGAACCCAAGATACCACGCCCTCAGGGTATTAGTGTACACGCCGCTGTCCTCTTGCGCTACAGTATTTTATGCTCGCCCTCTCTCACTCTCTCTCCTTTTTTATTTCCTGCTGGCTGCACCCACGTCTTTCTCTCCCCGCACCAGCAGCACAGGCTCATGTTAACGTTGGTAGATGTGCCTCAACCGCGTAGATAGGTTATTAGCAAGTCCAGTGCAGTTCTCCGTACGATTCACTTGAATGGAAGGGCCCGCCAACAGGTCGTAGCCGTCACGAGATTAGGTTGCTGGTGGCGAAGTCATTTGCGATCATCTGGGGTGCTGGACTGGGTTCGGCGGCTGGCAGCTTCGCATTCACCGACTCGCCAGAACTATTAAGTTCCATCCCGGCCGTCGGTTTGCATTTACATAGAACTTTCGTCCATCGCATGTTGACATCTGATATCGCGGTGCATCCTTGCCGTCTGTCCTGCTTCCGCGCACACGACATCAGCTCAAGCATAAGCATCAGCACCAGCGTCAGCATCTGCGTCAGCATCAGTGCCAGCTCGGAATTTCGATCCCGTCATTTCGCTCAACGAGACAACTAGTTACGCGCAGGAGTCTCCTGGCGCCTGGTTACTGTCTGGTTACCGCCTGGTTACCACCTGGTTACTGCACCATCCAGCCTTGAGGCTTCCATGGATGACCGCAAGTCGAAAACCAAGTGCGTGCCTTTTCCCTTGGCCTTCGTCTTTCACCTTCCGACTAATGATTGCTATCCGCCGCCCCAAAGTATTTCCTTACTTGCTTCGGCTCTGTCTGTCCAATTCTAAATTTGTGTCTCGGCGCTCACGTGATCCGGGCGCGATCTGTGGCTCGTAGTAGTACCGCATTGTCGCCGGCAGAGCATGCGTGAGGAGTCTATTTTTGAGGCGCCTCAAAAATAGATCCGTGGCTCGTAGTAGTACCACATTGTCTCCGGCAAAGCATCTCTAAGCCATGCGGAGGCATTGGCGCGCTAGATCATAATGACTCCCCCCCTGCCTAGTTTTCGGTCTAGGTTCAGGTCGTGTCTTATCCCCGGCGCGCGTGGTGCCCGAGTCTCATAATCAAGATCCCATCCCATCCTTCCCCCTCCCGTTCCCCGGATCCCCCTCTACGCGCAACGCGCAACGCGCAACCCGCAACGCGCCCTGCCAGAGCCAGCAAGGCGGCGACGGCGGCGAATGGCGGCGTCAGCGGGTCGGGATTGGGGCTCGGGTCTACTGGAGATGCCCCCTCCGAGATGACGTGAGTGCGCGACTGAGTTCGGTTTGGTTCGATTCGGTTCGGGGTGTTTTGAGGCGCTTCAAATCGCCTCCTCGGGAATGGTGGCGACTGACAGATCGCAATGTGATTCGTGGTTGGTGTGAGTGATAGATAGATAGATGCTGTGAGCGGTAGCTTGTGTGAATGGAGGTGCAGACCATACAGCGGCAATCGATCCCGTCGCCGCTCGTTTTTTAAACGTGACTTCCCCTGCACTGGTTTAGAGAGCGAGCGTCAGAAGCCATCTGTTCGCAAATCTTGCCATTTCCTTTCCCGCTTCGCCCCTGTCCCTCTCGTGTAGCCAGCAGGGCAATAGGAACTTGCCCAATTAGCAGTTAGCTCAATTCCCCCCTTTATCACCCCAGCCTCCTCCTTTCACTCCCTCCTCTCACTCCCTCCTCTCACCTCCTCCTCTCACTCCCTCCTCTCACCCCCGCCCGCACCCCCGCGCGCGCTCGCTCCTCCCCCCCAGTCGACGGGACGTGCTGGACATAGTGCGGAAGCATTCCGACGCCCTTCCGCGCCCAGGCGCAGCACAACCAGGCGCGGCCCCCTCCTCCGCGCAGCAGGGCGCGCAGGCAGGGCAGGGGGCGCAGGGGCAGGCGCAGAGCGGGGGGGGAGCGGAAGAGAACGGCCTGGATACCGCGAGCGTGCTGATGGACGGTCGATATTGGCAGCAGATGCTGGAGCTGTATTTCGTCAGAGATGGGGCGCGGAGCCAGCCCGGGGGGAAGGGGGGGAAGGGGGGAAAGGCAGGGGGAGGGGAAGGGGGAAATGGGGCGGGAGGAGGAGAGGGGGAGGGCAGCAAAGGGGAAGGGGAGAATGAGAAGGAGGAGAAAGGGGATGCTCTGTTTGATGACATGCTGTTCTTTGTCAGACAAGAGGTGCGTTGTGCGTTGTGCGTTGACGAGCGAGCAAGATTGGTGGTGGGACCCCGCTTCGTGGTGCTGCATTGTTGGTGGTGGTAGTGAGGGGGGGGGGGTTATAAGTGTTACACGATGTGTTTGCTTGCTCCATGGCGGCCTCAATGAGCTTGTTAATCGCGTTCTGCTGTGCTGACGCAGGCAGAGAAGGCACTACCGCGTACAACTTACCCCTCCTCCTTCTTTTCCCCCCTCCATTTCGCCTCTCACTTTCTCCCCTCTCCTTCCCTTCTCCCCCTCTCTCCTCCCCTTCTCTCCTCCACTTCTTCTCTCCCTCTTCCTTCTCCGCTCCACCCACCCCCCCCATCTGCCTGATTCCCATCTGTCAACCCCGGCCATGACAACAGAAATCCACCTTCGGTCAAATCCTCAATTTTATTGGCTCCCTCATGGTACGCACTCCCGACAAGCTCTTGCTATCTTACACCCCCCCTGCAATTATGCGTACCACCAACCAACCGCATGTTTTTGTCTCGCCTCGTCGTCTGCGATCAGTCTGTTTGGAAGGGACCCTTCACTTTGCCTGCATGCGTGACGCGCCACATCAAACCTGCAACCATTCTCAGAGTAACTTCCTTCCCGCATCATAACCTGCCTCACTTCGACTCGTCCATGCAGTCCCCCCTGCTGACCCTGCTCCCACCCACCCCGCGTTCCTTCCCCCATCCCTCTCCCCCCCTGATTCCCCCCCTGCATGTGTGGCGGAGCAGCAAGCGGACGGGCCTCAGAACGAGGAGGCAGAAGGCCACTTTTGAGTCGACTCAGGAGTCTCCCCCTCTCTCCCCCCACCCCCTTCCTCCCTGCGTGTGTTGGTGTGTGGCGTGGCGGAGCAGCAAGCGGACGGGCCTCAGAACGAGGAGGCGGAGAAGGCCAAGCCCTTCTTTGTGCGCCGCTGGGGGCCCGATGTCAGTGCCCCTGCCTTGCTCCATTGCTCTCTCTTAGCTCTCTCCCTCCCTCCCTCCCTCTCTCCCTCCCTCGGCTCCCTCGGCTCCCTCGGCTCCCTCGGCTCCCCGTTGCCTGCCTCCCTCCCTCTGTTCTCTCAACCATTACAGCCCCCCTCCTTGCCCGTTCCGTGCCTGACCTTCCCGTTGCACCTTCCCGTTGCACCTTCCCGTTGCACCTTCCCGTTGCACCTTCCCGTTGCACCTTCCCGTTGCACCTTCCGTTTCTGGAATCTTTTGTTTTGCCAACCAGCCCGTAGCTCTCCCCGCTTGCTCGCTCTGCACTGCTTTTGAGGCGCCTCGGAACTAGACCTGGGCGTTGCTCTCCGTGCTTGCTCGCTCTGCCTGCTCTGCCCTGCGCGGTGTTCCCTCTCCCCTTGGGACGTGCTGTTTCAAGCTGAAGCCTCTTGTCTAGTGCGCACACGTAGAGCAGCTGGTTCGTTGATTCAGTGCGCTCACACTATACTCAACAGCTGAACCCGATCCCACTCCTATGCCACTCCAACGCTTCCACTCCTCCCACTCCTCCCACTCCTCCCTCTCCTCCCACTCCTCGCTCTCCTCCCACTCCTCCCTCTTCTCCCATCTCACCCTCTCCTCCCACAACCCCGCCCTGTGGCACTCACCTGCGCATGCAGCTGGCGAGGGTGGTGGGGGAGAGCGCGGACGAGGTGGACTGGCGGCGCTCCTTCTACCTCAACCTCATCTGCCACACTGAGTTCACTCTCACCGTCGCCATCTGCAGGTGCGCTGCCCAGAACAGGTGATAAGCCATCTTCAGGTGACTTGCCATATGCAAGTGCATTGGGAAACGCACATTGGGTGGGTCGGTGGGGTGGGTGGGTGGGTGGATGGGTAGGTGAGTGGGTGCAGGTCCAGGTGAGTGGTATGTGAGTGGATGCAGCTCCTTCTACCTCAACCACATCTGGCGCCCCGAGCTCAATCTCGCCCCTGCCATGCCGCAACTACGTGCACTCTTCTACCTGCAAAGTGGTGATTTTTTAGTTGACTCTAAAATCACCTTTCGAGTCGCCTCAAAAAGCAGCTGCATGCACTCTTCTTCTACCTACCTGCAAAGAGCACTTCCCATACTCTGGGTTCCTTTCTGTTAGCATTACAAATGTCGCCATACCCTTGCTTCAACCCATTCTGTCCCGCTTCTTCCCGTATCCGCCGTTCCTCTGGACTCCTGCTGCTCTGGCTGCTCTGGCTGTTCTGGCTGCTCTGGCTGTTCTGGCTGCTCTGGCTGCTCTGGCTGCTCTGGCTGCTCTGGCTGCTCTGGCTGCTCCCACCCCACCAGTCGACAGGACCTGGAGGCGCATCGCAGGTCAAGCAAGGCTCCTGTTCACCCCATCTCCAAGGTTGGCTCCGATGCAAATGGCATGGCATGGGGTACAAGGTGGAAGTGAAGAGATGCATGGTGTTGCTGTGCCAAGTTCATCGTGCCTGGTACCATGCTGTCTCATTCCTGCTTCCTTATGTGCCATCTGCACCATCTGCACCATGTTCCCATGCACCCGTGGTCTTGTGTGTGCTTTGTGGTGCTCACACATGGCCCCACGCCCCCATCGCGTCATGCTCCCATGGCCCCGTGCACCCGTGCCCCCATGCCCCCATGCACCCATACCCCCATGCCCCCATGCCCCCATGCACCCCCATGGCTGCATGACCCCATTGCCCCATGCCCTCATGCCTGCATGGAACGGCGAGAGCAGGTGACGAAGAGGGTGTTTGCGTCCCCCAGCAAGGCGCGCATCGACATCGACACGTCAAAGGCGCAGGAGACGCTGCCCTCCTTCCCGGACATATGCTTTGCAGTCGACGACTACGACAATACCTTTGAAGCAGTGGTGAGTGTGGGTGGGCCTTTGCCATGAGGTGGCATGCGGTGCGATGCGGTGACTCAAAGTTGTTGTCACTGCCAGCAGGAGACGCTGCCCTCCTTCCCAGACATCTGCTTTGCGGTCGACGACTACGACAATACCTTTGAGGCCGTGGTGAGGTTGGGTGGTGAGTGGTTGGCACCATGCGGTGCCATGTGAATGCAGTGACTCAACAAAGGTGTTGTCACTGCCAGCAGGAGACGCTGCCCTTCCTTCCAGACATCTGCTTCGCGGTTGACGACCACGACAACACCTTCGAAGCTGTGGTGAGTGTCTGGGCCCATGCGACGTGGTGCCATGCGGTGTTGTACGGTGGGATGCGGTGCCATGCGGTGACTCAAAGGTGTTGTCACTGCCAGCAGGAAACACTGCCCTCCTTCCCGGACATTTGCTTCGCGGTCGATGACTGCAACAACACCTTTGAGGCCGTGGTAAGTGGATGGTGAATGGTTGGTGCCATGTGGCGAGTGGTGCTCTGCGCTTCAGGTCGCTACTGAGGTGCTTTTTCGAGAGCGAGAGATGCACTTTTCTGTGTGCCGCTGGCTCTGTTTTTGAGGCGCCTCAAAAATAGATTTCTCACGAGAGAGAGAGAGAGAGATGCACTTTTCTCTGTGCTGCTGGCTCTGCTGAAGCTTTGGAGCGAGGGTGGTGGGCGGCAGTGGCCCTCGACGCGTCAAGCAACCACAAAATCGGTGACTTTGAGGCCGCTTTTTTAACAGAAACACAAGGATCCAAATACGAGCCCCCCCCCCCGGAAGGGACCCTGGTGAGTGTGAGTGGCGCCAAGCATTGTCGAGCCTTCTGAGAGGTGCTCTCCTGAGAGGTGCTCTCGTCTGCTTGAAAGTGCTCGTGCACGGCCTATTCCAGCATGCTGCTGCTCCTCGCGCCTTTGCTAGTCGCCTTCCAACCTTGCATGAAATTCCCCCACGCTAGTTTTGAGGCGCCTAAAAACTAGAATTCCCCCACGCTACCCCATTTTGGGGGCACAGCCACCTCAAATGTAGACTCGTTGCATGAAACTCCCTCACGCAACTCCTTCCCAGAAGAGGGACCCTAGTTTTGAGGCGCCTCAAAAACCGCGTGATAGGAGTCTAGTTTTGAGCCGCCTCAAAAACAACCGCGTGATAGGAGTCTAGTTTTGAGGCGCCTCAAAAGCAGCCACCTCAAATGTAGACTCCTTGAACGAATTTTCCTCACGCAACTCCTTCCCAGAAGAGGGACCCTAAGCTCTGAAGTGCTCAGTGAGCAGTGGGCGTGGGGGTCAAGTGATGCAAGGTGTGTGTATGCGATCAGATGCCAGCCCGCCTTTGCTTCGCCTCTTCTGCTGCGTCCCCCCACGTGCTGGAGGACCCTGACTGAACCAGTGCTTCTGTGTGATGCTGAATGTGCATCGGCATTCCCCCCACATCCCTATACTTTCTTCCATACACCCCCCCCTCTCGCCCCCCCTCTCCCCTCCAGGTGCTGGAGGACCCTGACCACTGCGTCTGCGTATTGCTGAACAAACACGGCGGGGCGGCTTTCTCCCTTTCCATACTCACCGCTTCCTCCCCTCCTGTCTCCAATGTTCAACGTACCCTCCCCCTCGCTCCCCGATGCTGAACGCGCACGGCGGGGCGGCGTTCCCCCTCCCCGTACCCATCCCTTACTCTCTCCTTCCTCCAATCCCGCTGTTTGCTTCGCCCCCAACCCCCCCGATCCTCTCCCCCTCCAGGTGCTGGAGGACCCCGACCACTGCTTCTGCGTGATGCTGAACGCGCACGGCGGGGCGGCGTTTCCCCCGGACGACGTGGTTGAGAAGGTGAACCCGGACGGGTCCCGGCGCGTGTTCAAGCGCGGCACCAGCAGCGAGGCCACGGCGCTGGGGGAGGCCACTGATGGGCAGCCCAAGGTGAGTGCGCTCAAGTGAGAGAGATGGGACCTTTTTAGGTGCCTCAATTTTTTTTTGGATGATTTTTTAGGCGCCTCAAATATCGCCACGGCGCTGGGGGAGGCCACCGATGGGCAGCCCAAGGTGTGTGCGTTGCTGATGGGGCGGGCGGGAGTGGAGCGGGGGCAGGGGAGGGGTGGGTCTGGGCTGGGGAAGGTTTTTTTTTTTAGAATAGGGGAAAGAGGGATGAAGAGGGAGGTGGAGGGCGGCTCATCAAGGGGCAGCTTGAGTTGAGTGGAGGGGATTGTTGAAAACCTGGTGAGAAAGCGAGCGTGGGAGTCAGAAAGCGGAAAGAGAGGGATGGGAGTGGGAAAGGGGAAGGTGAACCCAGACGGGTCCTGGCGCGTGTTCAAGCGCGGCACCAGCTGCGAGGCCACCGCGCTGGCGGAGGCCTCCGATGGGCAGCCCAAGGTGAGTGCGCGCGAGTTAGAGAGGGGAGAGAAGGGGGGACAGAGAGGCGAGGAGTGAGGGGGAGGGGAGAGGGGGTGGACGGAGAGGGAGAGGGAAAGGGGGGAGAGGGGGGCGGGAGACAGGGAGCAGAGGGGGGATGAGCGGTGGGGGGATGAGCAGAGGGGGGATGAGCAGAGGGGGGATGAGCAGAGGGGGGATGAGCAGTGGGGGGATGAGCAGTGGGGGGGGAAAGGATTCAGCAGCTGGTTTAGCGAAGTTTACTGCATGAGTACCCGTACCCCTTGCCTCCATGCAGCCAACCCTCTCCCCTTACTCCTGCCCATCCCTTTATGCCCTGCCCTTCCACTAATGTCTGCCCATGCCCTCCACTTATATCTGCCCATCCGCTTATGTCTGCCCGTGCCCTTGTGTGCCCCTGCGGTCCTGTGACCACCACCAGATCACTCTCTTCTCTGGCTTTGTCAGCTACCCGCTCGTGCGCTCCGCCTTCCAAGGTGCCTCCGCCCCCCTGCCCCTCGTCCCAACAACTGCATCTCTAGCCTTGCACCTCTCTCCCCCCCTTCCAAGGTGCCTTGCGCCTCTCTCTACATGTAGCGGGGCACGTCCTCCTGCCCTGCCTTTTGCTTGGACCTCTCGAGTCCTTGTGCTGCTAGGACCTCACGAGTCCTTGTGCTGCTAGGACCTCACGAGGCCGCGAACGAATAGCTTCGGGAGCATCGTGTGTCTAGAGTAGATCCCCACCCATTCCAGCTGTGGAGTGAATGAGCGCGGGGAGTCTAGACTCTCAAGCTGCCCCTTGGAGTGAAAATAGACTCGCCACCCATTCCAGCTGTGGAGTGAATGAGCGCCGTTTCTCCTCACCCCACCTGGACTCCCTTGCACCTCCCTTGGCGTTCGTTCTGTCCTACGGCAGCTGTGCCCCAACACCCTTCCCCTGATCTCGCTTTCTCAGCGTGTCACCTCGTCTCCTTTCCTTTGCTGCACTTCATTTTGCAGGGTGTTTTTGAGGATTCTCAAAAGCACTTCTCCGCGTCGTGCTCCTCATCCCACCGTTCCCACCGTTTCTTCTCTATTGCTGCTCTCACTCGATCCTCTCTGACAGCCCCTCTCTCTTTCTCCTCGCTTCCTTATACGCTATCCAGCTGGTCCCCTTCTCTTTCCTATTCCATTCTCACTCTGAGCTTTCCTCCTCCTCAACCTCCTGCCAACTCCTTCCCTCTCCTCCTCCCCTCAATCTCCCCTCCCCTACCCCCCACCCTGGTAGCAGGAGGCAGTACAGGGTTCAGCATGTGGGGGCAGACGCAGCCGGCTAAGCCAGAGAAACTCGTGATGAGGGGGCCGGGAGGCAGAGGGGAGGCGGATGTGGCAGTGTCTCTCGTGCTGCCTGCACCCGAAGGTGAGCTTGTCTCTCGTAAGCTTGTCTCTCGTGAGGTTGTTTTCTCCTCGGCCCTTCTTCTCCCTCTCCCACACATGCATGCATGCACACACACACCTGCTCAAGTGCATGCGCACGTGCAGCATGCACACACACAAACACACACACACACACACACACACACACACACACACACACACACACACACACACACACAAACATTCATGCACACAAATGCACACATTCACACACACACATGCACACATTCACACATTCACACACACACATGCACACACAGACACTCACGTGCACACCCACCAACCCTACTTCTTCGGTCGGTCACCCTCCCACCCGTCTTCCCCTGCATCCCAGCAGTGCACGCCGAGGAAGCAGAGAAGAAGCGGCGGCCCAGGGAGAGGAAGAAGAAGGACGGGGAGAACCGCCACCGGCCGTCCCTCTCCGAGCTCCAGGGCAAGCTCTGGACCGTGCAGTCGGAGCTCATGGGGCTGGTAGAAGCGCAGCAGCAGCAGGAGGAGGTGGAGAAGGACAAGGGGAAGGGGAAGGGCAAGGAGGTAGCGGAGGAGGCGGAGGAGCGGAGGAGAAAGAAAGAGGAGAATCAGCAGCGGTTGAGAGAGCTTCAGGTGGAGTTGAAATCGGTTCAGGAGCAGCTGCAGAAGCTGGGAGGGGGCGAGGGCACTGGCAGCCCGAAGTACGGGGACAAGTCATCAGGGGGCAGCGGTAGTGGCGGCGGGAGCAGGGGGGTGGTGGGAGCAGTGGTGGTGCAGGGGGTCGTATCTCGGGGTTTTTCAAGAAGGTGGCCCAGACCCCTCCCCGTCGCACGATGCTGCACGACGATCTAGAGGACGCAGGTGGCTCCCCAGGGGGGGGAGCGCCAGGAGCAGGAGCAGCGGCTGGTACAGCTTTTGCTGGCACCGGCAGTGGTGGCAGCAGCAGCGGTGGTGGTGCTGGTAGGTCGTCTAGTGCTGGTGGTGGGACTTCGGGAGAGGGAGGGGCAGGAGCAGGAGGAGCAGGGAAGGGCAAGGCAGCAGCAGGGGGTCCGGTGGTGCAGCCACTGCGGTGCTGCCTCATCTCCCTCACCCTGCCGTGGGACCTCCTGGCCTTTGACCTTCTCTTCAAGGTGAGGGGTGCTGGTGATGGTGATGGTGACGATGCCGATGTGGATGAGGGTGATGAGCATGAGGTTGATTTGCTTCGCCCCATTGGCCCGGCGGCTGCTGTACCTCATGCTTGTCACCTCTAATTCTTGCACCCTCGTTCCTGGGCTTGCTGCTTCACTGCTGCAACCTGTTGTCCTCTCCTCTCATCTCACCTTTATCTTCTCTACTAGTGCACTGGGGCACTGGGGCACTGGGGCACTGGGGCACTGGTGCCTTGCTACAGGAGACGGCCATCAAGATTTAAAGTGGTGACTGTGCCTTTTCTTAGGCGCCTCATGAACTACCTCCCTTTTTTATCCCTCCCCTCCATTCTCCCTCCCGTCCCGCCTCCCCTCTCCCGCCTCCCCTCTCCCGCCTCCCCTCTTCCACTCCCCTGCCCTCCCCTACCCTGTTTGCCCCTTGCTTGCTGCAAGAAATGCCCATCGATGATTGGCACCGGTGCCGTCTGTGTTGCTCACGCGCCTCAAGCACTCCTTTCCTCGTCGCCTCCCTCTTTGCACCCCCTCCCCCATCCCCTCCCCTGCCTGACCGCTTGTGTTGGTTCTCTGGTGCTGGAGATGCCTATTAAGATCCACATCGGTGGCCGTGCTATTTTTTCCATGGGACAAACGTTCCTTTTCGTCATCACCTGCCTTCACGTGTGCCTCCACGTGTGCCTCCACGCGCCACACAGGGGGCCGCATGGGAAGAAGAACTGTGGTCCACATTTCCTTCTCTTCATCACCTGTCTCCGTGCTTTTGAGGTGCCTCAAAAGTGTCTCCACAATTCTTCTTCCCATGCGCCCCCCTGTGTGGCCCCTCTTGCGTTGGCGCTCCGCTTGGCTGCAGGAGATGCCCATCAAGATCGACATCGGTGCCCGTGTCTTCCTTTTCACGCGCGTCAAACAGTCCGTTGCTCATCACCTCCCTCCATGCTTCCCCCCCCCCCTTCCCATGCGCCCCCCTGCGTGGCCCCTCTTGCGTTGGTGCTGTGCTCAGGCGCAGGAGATGCCCGTCAATCTTCTCATCACCTCCCTCCATGTCTCCCCCCTTCCCATGCGCCCCCCTGTCTGGGCTATGGCCCCTTGCATCGGCGCTCTCCTCTGGTGCAGGAGATGCCCATCAAGATCGACATCGGTGGCCGTGTCTTCCCCCCCACCCGACCCAGACCCGTCCCTCAAGCTTAGCTCCACATGCAACAGCGCCTCCTGCCCACCTCCTGCCCACCTCCTGCCCACCTCCTGCCCTCCCTCCCTCTCCCTCACCTCTCCCTCGCACGCACATCACATCACCAAGCAATACCCCTCAACTCGACGGTTGGCACTCCCCAGGCTTCGTCCACCCTCCCTCTGTTCCTCCATCACCCAGCCGTCCTGCACTCAGCCCTCCCATGCAACGTGCAATGTACAATGTGCAATGTGCATTATGCGTCGTGCGCACGGTTACCAATTGCGGTGCAATCATTGCATTGCATTGCATTGCCGGGCCCTCCACCCACCCACAATGGTGTGTCTTAGAACCCAACCCATCCCACCCAAGCCTGTTGCATACACTGTGCAATGTACTGTGAAGTGAAATTCAAAGAGTTAAATGCGCTAAAATAGGGTGTGTTGGTAGTTAGTCACTACAATAGGGTAATTGCTTGCTGGTTACATTTCATCTATTGGTACGCCCATGAAGTAGTCGCGATTTTCCGTGGGGGTCACACAAAAAAAGGGATTAAATCAACTGCAATTTAAATTATAGATACATCACAAGGCTAGTGCACAACATGGTCATGCCATGACTAATGCGAAATTACTACAACACAAAAAACCTGCTCTAACCATACCATAACTACCATACAGTACAGTGCTATATGCACCACCTCAATTTTCCATTCTACCCCTCTGAATCCACTTCATGCTTTCAGAGCAAGCAATCAGTCCCCCCTCTCTCCACAGGAGAATCTTCACACGCAAACCATCAATCAGCACAAGTGGAGGAGGCGGCTCTCTCTAGAGTGCACTCAGAAGTGAATGAGTAACCTCAGAAGGGAGTTCCTTGAAAGTGAGTCGCCTCAGCAGCTGGACTGGAATTTGGGCGGCAGTTGAAAAGCCAGGAAGCGATGCAGCAGCCGCTCAGCCACGTCCATTCCCTCATACAGCTGCTGCTGCTGCTGCTGCTGCTGCTGTTGCTGTTGTTGCTGCTGCTGTTGTTGCTGGTGCTCGCAGAGAGATGACTGGAGCACCCGGGCCAGAAGAGCAATGCGCGAGGGCTTCATGTGGCATACCACCACGATGGCACCTTCTATCACCCTCCACGCATTTGTTCCGGGGGGGAGGCAGGGGGGGCTGGCGGCGCTGCTGCTAGTGGCTAATGATGGTGATGACTGCTGCTGCTGCTGCTGCTGCTGATGCTGGTCCAGGGCCTTTGCAGCATCCAGCCAGCGACAGAACCCCCCCATGCCGCCAAACTCGTTCCTCCAGTCCTCCACCCCCTCAGCACCTGCACCCGCACCACTCCCTCCTCTCCCGCTATCTTCACGGCCAGCAGACAAGCTCCTCCCAGCGTACTGGTGGCGCGGCGGCAGGGCAGAGGCGAGCGAGGCGGCTGTGTCAGCGCCGTACAACCGGAAATAGTCTTCTAGGTTCGCCGCGACACACGCCGGACCACCGAATATGTCCGCTACCCTGGTGTGGCGGGAGGCAGGGGGCGGGGGGGGGAGGGGGAAGGGGGAGGAGAGGAGGCGGTGAGAGTGGGAAGGAAGGGGGGTGATAGTTGAAAGAGGAGGGGGAAAGGGTGGCGAAGCGCGAGGGTAGGGGTAGAAACAAAAAAACGAGCAGGCAGCAGTGAGCAGCCAACGGTGAGCAGGCAGCAGCGAGCAGGCAGCAGAGAAGAGAGGGCTCACCTTATGGCACGCGCAGCCACACAGGGCATGTGCCAGTCGGGGTGGCGGCACACGTGGGCGATCCACGCGCAGAAGCGCAGCGACCCCACGTGCTGCCACTCGCCGCCGTCCACCACGTACGCCGCAGCCGCGTCGTCCAGCCACTGCAGCGGCGGCTCCCCCCGCCGCCCCTCGCGCAGCCGCCGCAGGTACCGCCCCCGCACGCCCAGCTTGCTAATCTGTTCCTTCTCCTCTGCCTCCGCTGCCGTTGTCTGCTGTACCTCCTGCTGCTTCTGCTTCTGCTGCTGCTGCTGCTGCTGCTGCACGGACGAGCACCTATTGCCAGCCACGTCCACAGGGGAGGCGTTAATGATGGCGGCGAGGCGGTCGAGGCATGCCACAATGCGGCAGCGCCGCGTGTTGAACTCGCTCTCGCCTGCGATCGCCTGCCATGGCTTCAGGTAGTACTGCGAACCACCCCACTCGAACCACACTGGCGGACCGCCGTCTCTTCTTCCCCCTGTCCGCTCTCTCTCCCCGCACTCCTCCTGCTCCCCCTCACCCCAGATATCTCCTCTCCTGCTGTCGTCGCCGCAACCAAGTCTTCGCTCCGCCGTTCCCCCGCGATTTTCTACCACACACCATGCGCGCACCTCCGCGCGGAGCTCCTCCTGCGCGCGCACGATGTCGCGCACTGCCCGCGCGTCCACACGCACGCTTTCCCTTCCGCCGCTGCCGCCGCCACCGCCGCCGGCACTTCCTTCCCCGCTAGCGCGCGCCCTAGCCGCCTTAATCAGCCGCTGTCGGCGCCAGAGCGCCACGCGCAGGGAGAGATGCTCCGCCACGGCGGAAAAGAGCGCGGCGAGGGGCGCAGGGGGAGGCGCAAGCGGGGAGCTCGCGCCGGGAACTCCCCGCGACACCCGCGACTTTCTGGAGGGGAAAGGGTTAGCGGAGTTGGAGGGGTACGGGGAAGTCGGTGTTTGCGGGGACACGGGGGAAAGGGAGGAGGGGGAGGAAGGCGAGGGGGAGGAAGACGAGGGGGAGGAAGACGAGGGGGAGGAAGGCGAGGGGGAGGAAGACGAGGGGGAGGAAGACGAGGGGGAGGAAGGCGAGGGGGAGGAAGACGAGGGGGAGGAAGGCGAGGGGGAGGAATCCGAGTCGGGGGAGGTCGAGGGGGGGGACGAGGAGGGGGAGGACGCCTCTGCGGGGGAGAGAAAAGGGGCATCGAAAGCGGCGTGCGCGAGGGGGGAGGGAGGGCGCGGGGTCGACGGCGTACAAGGCGCGGAGAGCCCTTCGATAGTAGCACAATCCGCAGAAGAACTGTTAAAGCGGCTAAGCGAACGGTCCGCAGGGTCGGAGACTTCAAGCGCGGAGAGCCTCGGGGGAAACGCTCCGCCTGCGTGGAGCGCAGTTGGAGGGGGAGCGGAGGTGGCGCAAACAGAGGAGAGGAGGACGGAAGGTGGAGGGATGGAAAGCGGGGGAATGGGGAAGGCGAGCGGGGGATGGCGCCACTTGGCGGAGGAGTGTTGCGCGCAGTGCAGCGCGGCGGGAATGGGTCCATGGCCGTCGTTGGTGGGCGAAAGAATGTCTACCAGAAGGTCGCCGTCCAATAGCAACGCATCTTCGTCGATATAATCGTCGCCAGTCTCACCGCCATTACCATCGCCGGTTTCTACGACTCCTTCGTTACTCTCCGCCACCGCATCCCCTTGCGCGTTCTCCTCCTCCGTCTCCTCTGCGCCTTCCGCTTCCCATTCTTCCGCCTCCCCCTCGTCCTCCGCCGCCGCCGCCGCCGCCGCATGGCCCTCCCAGCGGTTTCTCCTCACTGCGGCCGTTTCTCCTCCACACTCGGCACCGCCCGCTCCTCTCCGCGCGTCGCCCCCACTCTCGCCCACCCCCTCCGCCATCCTCTCTCCTCGCGCCCCTTGCTTTACCGCCGCGCCTCCTCTTACCTCCGCCACCTCCCGCGTTTCCATCACTGCGGAAAACACGGCCGTATCGCCTTTCGCGCTTCCCCCGGCTCCGCTCCCCCCCTGCACCGCGCAGACTTCCGCCCGCGCATCTCCCCGCAGCCCGCGGGCCCCCAGGGCCATTCCGGCGGGGCTTGTGGGGGAAGCTGCGCCGCGGGGTGCTTCAAACGAGGGGATGGGCGTAGGCGGTCGAAAGAACGGCTGGTGCGGTAACGAGGAGGCTGGGGACTGCGCCTGCTGCTCCTGCTGTTGCAGTTGTACCTGCTGGGCTGTCTGTTCGCCTTGCTGCGACTCTAGTGCTGCGCTTCCCCTGCCGCCGCCGCCACTGCCGCCACTGCCAGCGGACGCCGCACTAAATCGCGACCTCGAGCGATTAAACCAGGGGTTTCTGCTGAACCGCCCGTTAAGGTCGCTGCTATGGTGCCCGCTCTCCATCGGCCCCGAGAAAACCGTCGCATGGTCTGTCGCATGGGCGTCGCCGGGCGACGACGACAGCACGGACGACAAGCCGTCGTCGGCGTCGCGGTCGCGGCAGCAGCAAGGGCAGCAGCAGGGCTTGAGCCCGTCGCGAACGTATTCGCGATGGGATATGGCGGAACGAGCGGATGTAATGCCGAGGGGATTCGGAGGAAGGCCGGGGGAAGGCCATGCGACGCTCCGTTGCGGCTCCCTAGTAGAGCGAAATGCCGTCGACGGGATGCCGCCTTCGCTGTTGCTGCTGTTGCTGCTGTTGCTGCTGCTACTGCTGCTGTGGTTAGATGGAGGCAATTCCGACGCGCCGTTGCTAGTCGTGCAGTCAGAAGAGGGAGCTAGTCGACTGGAAACATCCGACTCGACGGAGGCTCGTTCTGCCGAGTGAGGAATGGCCTTGAGAGAAGCTGTAGCAGCCGCCATGGCTGACTTGGAACGCTAGTGGAGTTGCTCGCGAGCGATTAGTGCTCTCCTTGGGCAAAAATAAAGCGTAGGCACCGCTTCAAGGAGGTGACAAATTGAGGGTTTTAGGAGGTTGCTGAGGCATTTGCTTGGAGGAAACAGCTGGTGTTACAGCTGGCATTTTGCAAGCGTCGAAGTTTGGAGACTGAGGTGGCGTCCGTAGAAAGGACATGTTACGTCTGACTGTGTCAAAGCGGAGCACGTCCACGTTTGGGGGTTTTACACTGTAGCTGGTGTGTCAAATCGAGTCGCGTGCACGAATTTTAACGAAGAGGGCTCATTGGCCAGCGCCGATTTAAAACGACGACTCTTCAGAAGCCGAGCCGCATCCACATTGCTGGTGGGGAAAAAAAAAAAAAAAAAAACCAGCGCATGTCGAGGCAAAATGCAGGCCTTTCGTTGATTGGGCGAGAGCAGTTACAGTAGTTCGCAGCGATGAGCTTGGTTGGCTGACGACCGCTCCACAATTCATCAGCTTGTGTTCGACAAAGTTAATTGGTCGTTGGGTCCAGTTGAAACTGACACTCTGCAAACAATGTTGTCGAGTGTCAAAACGAATCGCGTGACCCTGCGGGAATGACATGTCATTTATACGGACACATCCTGCGCTAGGGAGGAGGAAGTGGAGTAGGGCAGAGGGGATGGGAGGGAGCAGAGGGAGCGGAGTGGGGGGAGAGGGAAGGATTTAGTGTGAGGGAGGAGGGTGATTCGAATTGGAGAAGCCACACAAGTGCGGCTTGGATGGTTCTTGAGGTTGGGGTGACGTTGCAAAACGACAAACTTCGGAAGCTGGCTCAGAAGGCTCGTTACAAAACGGACATAGGCTCAAGGCTCCCTCCACATTTTGAAAAAAAAAAAAAAAAAAAAAAAAAAAAAAAAAAAAAAAATTGGCCTCGAAACGATTTGCACATTTGCCACTAATTGGACTTGCGGGGATAATACGCGGGTTGTGGTGAGATGGGAAACTCAGAAGCTGTGTTTTAACTCTAGCCCAGATCCGTTCCTCTTATTCCATACTGTTACACGGGGGATCAGTATTTGTTTGGCAAATTGATCGAGTAGATGCCGCCGAAAAACATTTTCAATACACCATATTTCATAGGAAATCTCAAGGTCAGCACGGGGTGAGTTCTCATGGCAACTTCTCGAATACTTTCACGGTTACGACATGGAATGCTATCCCATGTGCGAACAACATTCACAAGAGATTCTCTTGATAACAATATCCACCAGCTGGCGAGCATGTAACGGGGGTTTACCGACAAAAATATGAGGTTGAGGTCAGCTGTCGTTACCCTCTGGATAATGCTGCCATGGTGCAGGCCCCAAGTGTGGTCGGAAGGCGATTCGTCGCGAGGTGTCGGGGGGCAATGAACAGAGTCACAGACCAGTCTGCAAGCGAGATTCTTTTTCTACAGCTGGGGTCGACCAATCGAGCTTGCGGAAATGCTGTTGGTTTGGGTCTGGGAGGAGGCGGCGACCAAACCAAGCCCAATGTTAGAGAAAGGGGGGTGCAGCAACGTACTGGAACAGGGATGTGATGTTACTGATGGCCTTCTATATTGAAGAAGACAAAAGTATCTATGTGGCGTGTTTCGCATAGCTCCTAGCTTTGCGATTCAAAAATAAATCAATTGTGTGGAAAATGTCTTAGGGCCAGGGAATGCAACAGGATGGAACACACCTAATCTAGCCCTCAACAGGCATGCATCTCAGGCATACTCATCTTGCATGTCTGCCTCACGCATCCTCTTGCGCACCTTCCACCATTTCATCCAGTGCCCTACCTCTGCGGAATTTTTTCCTGCCCGACTTCCCTCCGCCCATCTTGAACAATCCCTTGGTTGGCCCTGTCCCTGACTCCCCTTTCCCTAATTCCCCTTTGGTCCCTGTGGTTGGTCGACCAGCAGCAGCAGCACCATGGGTGTGTATACTAGCTGAAGCAGAAGCTGCAGTTGATACCTCTACAGTAGCAGCAGCAGCAGCAGCAGCAGTGACATCAGCATCGGGCACTGAAGGGGGGTCAGCATCAGCATCAGCATCATCCAGCATATCCGATGCTGCTATGCCACGTAGACTGGCTATCCCACCACCACCACCAGTAGCAGTACCAGCAGCAGTACCAGCAGCGGTACCAGTGTCATCACCAGTACCTACACTGGTACCAGCAGTAGCAGAACCTCCAGAGCCACCACCAGCAGCAGCAGCAGCCCCCACAGCGACTCCTCCCCCCTCCACCTCCATCTCATCATGTTTGTCCTGCCTTTTCCCCCTGCCTGTACTAGCCCCTCTATCTTTGCGCCCCACAAACACCACCCGCTTTGATAAATCATCTTCAGACCTCGCGTCTGCTCCCGCTGCCGCTGCTGCTCCTGCTGCTGCCCTGAGCACTGCTCCTGCTGCTTCTCCTGCTGCTGCTGCTGCTGCTGCTGCTGCTGCTGCCTCTCCACTCCCCGTGACCCCTCTCTCACCCCCCACTCCGCTATCGCTACGAGCAGAAGAGTCCTTGGGTCTGCCTGCCCCTGCTCCTCTCAACCCCACTGCCTGCTGCAGCGCTGCTCTGTACTCTGACATCTCCCCCATCTCCCCCTCAGCTGCAGGCCCCCCTTGCCCCCACCCCCCAGCCCACCAGTCGACCTCATAGGCCGTGTACTTGTGTGGATTATGCACGTGGTCAGGCACGCGACTAGCGCCCATCCCTCCTCCACTGCCTCCCTCACTGATTGTCAGCTCCGATTTTCCAGCTGCGCCGGAGGTCTCTGCTTCTCTTGTGCTGCTGCTGCTCACCCCATCCACTCCCCCTTCCTCCATTCCCACTCCTTCCATCCCCTCCCCACCAACCCCTCCCTGCCCTTCCACCCCTGCAGTGCCCGCCTCCTTCATTTCATCACCACCACTGCCATCGACCCCCTTGGCCCCCCCCCCTTGCTTTCCCCCTCTTGACCCCTCTTCAACCGGGATACTCTCCATAGCATCCGCCTTACCTTCCCTAGCTGGTTCCTCGGCTCTTGCACCCTTTGAACCATTACCACTCTCAGGCCCATCCTCCATGGTATCACTCCTTCCCTTGCCACCTGCACCATCCGCACCAAAAGCTACCCCTCTACGTTGCTCAACCCCCCCACCCACATCCCCGCCTCTCCCCCCACTCACTCCCACCCCGACCTCACCCCCTGCCCCCAGTCCTCCCTCCCCCCCACTCCCACTGACGTTAGCCCGGCTCATCTGCCCGCATATCAACCCCAGCAACCTCCGCCCCAGCCCCATTTTCTGCTGACTCCTCCCCCCTGCCCACTTCCCCCAACCTCCCCCATCCCCTCCTCCTCCCCCTCCTCCGCCTCCCCATGCACCTCCCCCGTCTCTCCCTCCCGCCCCCCCACCCCGCCCTGAACCTGGGACACCTCTCGCTCCCTTCCCCTGCCACCCCATGCGGAACAGGCTCCCCACGGGGCTCTCGTTCTCGTCCTCCTCCCCCCCGACCACACCTTCCGCAAACCGCACCCTCCGCTGCCTCTGCCTGCGCCCCTCATTCGCCCCATCCGCATCCCTTTCCGCCCTTCTGCTGGTTTCCCAGCTGCCAGTGCCACCACCCTCCTCCGCTGCTTCTGCGGCTCCCACTTCTCGCCCCTGCTTCTCGCCCCTGCGGTTGCCATTCCCCTCCTTATCACCCGCTCCAGTCTCTGCATCTGCCCTTGACCGCTTGCCTAGCTTCAGTATGCCCTTCAATGCCCCACTGCTGTTACTGATGGCTTTGGACCCAGATGCACTCCCAGCAATAGCAACAGCAGGAGACGAACCAGCAGCGGTAGCAGCAGCAGCAGCAGCAACACCAGCAGCACGATCGCAACCGTCGCCTTGCTTCTCCTTAAATTCCACTTCTAGCCCTCCCTGCTGCTCGCCCCCCTCTATTCCCACCATCTCAACAGGCACAATCCCCAACCCATGCCCCTGCACACCAATCTCACCCCCCTCCTTGCCTTCTCCTTTGCCTTTGACCACTCCATCTTCTCCTTTTCCTCCTCCTCCACCCTCTCCTCCTCCTCCCTCTTCTTCTTGGCATGTCACGCTCACCTCCACAACCCCTTCTGAACCCGACTCTCCTCCTCCCCTCCTCCCCACATCCCTCTCGTCCTCTTCCTTGCGTCCTTCCTCCGCCATCCTGCCTTTCTCCTTGCTTTCCGGAGCAGGAGCAGCAGCAGGAGCAGCAGCAGGAGAAGCATCCGGAGCAGGAACAAGGGTAGGAGTAGAAGGAGCAGCAGCAATAGCAGCGGCATCAACGGTAGCCGCAACCGCGGCCGCCTCTTCCTCACGCATGTCAATGTCACTCAACGTCTCTCCTCCACTCGCCCTTTCCTCCTCCCCACTCTTTTCCCCCTCCCCCTCCTTCTCCCCCTCCTTCTCCCTCTCCCCACCCTTTCTCTCACCAATATCATCCAAATCCTTCTCCCACCATCTCCTCCCATCATCCCCTTTCCCTATGTTTTCCCCTCCGCCCCCCTTCCTCTCACCACTCCCCTCACCATCTCTCTTCCCTCCACTCCCTCCCCCGCCCCCACTCCCCTCCTGCCCCGCCTTCCTCCCCCCTGCACTGCCCCAAAGCCCTGAACCCCAACCCCCCTCCCCCAAGCGGAAATCGCTGACAACACCAACACCAGCACCGCCCCCACCACCGCCCCCACCACAACCAGTTTCCTTGCTCGCAGCACCCCCCTTCCCCCCCTTGAACAGGTCATCAAACGCCTGATTCCAGCTGTCCCTTCCGCGCCACCCCCCCACACCTTCCCCTGCCGCTCCCTGCCCTGCCGGTTCAGATGTTACTGCAGCCACTGGTGTCGGCTCCACGCCCTGCAGCTTCCCTCCCACAGCATCTGCTCCGTCCTTCGCTTCCTTCTCTGCAACTCCCTGCGTGCCTGCCCCTGCTCCTGCCCCTGCTCCTGCCCCTGCTCCTGCCCCTGCTCTTGCCCCTTCTCCTTTCTCTGGTGCGCCTTCATACGCTGTTTCACTGAGCTCGTGCGCGGCCCAAGAGGGCTCAGCCAGGCCAGCTGCGGCAGCCACAGCGGCAGCACCTGACCCCTGCGCCTGCCGCCAGTCCTCCTCCAGTCTCCGCGCTGCACTCTCCAGGTCCCCCCGGCCCCGCCTCCCCCCTCTGCTGCCCCCTTCGCTACTGCCACCAGTCGCCGCGCTGCCAGAGCTGCCCAGGGAGGTTAAAGCCCCAAAGCCATCACCAGCAGCAGCAGCAGCAGCGGCAGCAGCACCTTCAAGGGCAGAATCAGAAGCAGCAGCAGCAGCTGCAGCCTCCAGTGCTGCGGCTTCTGACGCCTCCCTCAGATCGTCCCCAGCTCCCATCCGCTGGAATATCCGCCCCACTCTATCCACATGCTCCTGAAACTCGTTCCGCCATTCCGCCATCCTCCCCCTCCCCCGCACCTGCACCCGCCCCCGCCCCCACCCTCTCCCCCTCCTCCCTTGCCCCTTCCCCCTCCCCCTCCCCAATGGCACCAGCGCCCCTGCCGACGCTCCCCCCATCCCCGTCCCCCCAGCTCCCCCCGCTCCCGCCCCTCCCTTTCCCCCACCTCCCCCCCCAACCCCTCTCAAAACCCCGCCGGCGGCCGCCGCCAAGTCATCCTCATCCGCTTCCTCGTCAGAAACCTCGCGTTCCAGGTCAGCATCTCCCGAGGCTCCTCCTCCACCTCCTCCCCCTCCTCCGCCTCCTAATCTCCCCAACACTACGCCCTCCGCGAGACGGTCAAAATCGTCCTCCTCGTCCTCCATATCGAGTGTGTCGTCTGTCCCCACCCACCGCGCCATGTCCTGCGCCTCCTCCTCCACCCCCATCGACGCGCGCAGATTCAGCTCCCCTCCGCCGCCGCTCCCCCCTCTTGCGCCGCCGCCACTTCCGCGGGTCCGGTCCTCGTCCCCCCCCAGCTCATCCCAATCCTCCTCCTCCTCCTCCTGCTCTTCTTCTTCTTCTTCCTCCTCCTCCCCGTCATCTTCCTCCTCGTCTTCCTCCCCGCATAACCCGGTCCGACTCATCGATCCCGCTCCTTCCGCCCCTCCTCCTCCTGCCGCTCCAGCTGCCGATCCAGCCGCCGCTGCTCCCGCCGCGGCTGCGGCTGCGGCTTCCATGTACTCCCGCCTCGCGATGCACCTCGCCTCCTCCTCCATCTCCTCCTCCTCGTCGTCCTCGTCATCATCGTCGTCGTCCACGTCAGACGCCCATCGCCCGTACTGGCCAATCACTCTGTCGCCCTCGCCCCCGGGGCCCTCTTGCTCTGCGCCGGAAAAATCCGAGGAGCCCGGGCCTGCGCCATGGCGTGCCTCCAGAGGAACAGATCCTGCTGTTGGCGCTGCTGCTGCCCCTGCTGCTGCTGCTGCTGCTGTTGCTGGTGGTGGTTGCGCCGCATCAGACGCCGCTGAGTTACCCGCGCTTATCTCCGTGATGCGAACCATCGGCAGATAGGTCGCGTGCTACGCCGCCAAGACGTGTGGTAGGCCGCCCACTACGCAACCAAGACGTGTAGAAGGGAGATTCACGTTGGATCTTGCGCAGAAGAATCGTCCGAAGCCGGATTGACTGGCTGTCAGCGGCGGTTCCCCGCGAAAAAAAAAGGGGGAGAAGCTTGGTTGAAGGACGCGTCACGGGCGAGAGAGCGAGATCGATGTTTTGAGATGTGATGTTATGTGATGGTATAAGATGATATAATTTGGTCGGGAGTGGATATTTCGCTCTCCAAGGCGGAGATAGGAGAAGAGAGGATGTTTTGAGGCAGACGCAACAGCGTAGAGTGAGAGAGAGGACAGCCGCATGGCATGTCTATCTGAATTTCCTTTGGAAACTCGTTAGGGGGTGCATCGCTCCTAAAAGGCTTGTCATTATTCATTACGGGTTACAGAGTTACAACATACTACTCGACGGCTCTAAAACTTTACACGAGGAACACCAATGCAAAATAAAGATCGAACACATTTCAAAAGTCTTCTAACCAAATGGTTAAAGTCAATTCGTCCGGCTTCTCGCTATTTATCTCAATCCGGGAGCACCGTTGCCTCCTCAAATTCGGCCCTGACCACCCAGTACCCTCCCCTTCGTGTTTGAGCCCATCACCCAACCGCATTGGACCGTGTGGTCTAATAATGCGTGCTGAGGTCACTCTCTGGATTGGAAGCGGGCAATGGGAGCGGTCGAGTGCGGTGCTGCGCGATGTCCGGTTGTACACACTCACCAACGGCACCTGCTCCTTGCTTATCTCGCTGCTGCTCGCACCCCTGGACCCGGCCAGAGTACCGTTGAAGCCAGGGGAGCTGATGGGTCGTTGTGTGACATTGAAGGGTGGTTGCAACTGCTGCAACTGTGGAAACTGTCCCACGTGCGTCGCATACATGGTGAAAGGCAGGCCGCACGCCCTGTTTTCCAGAGCATCAGGCTGAGGGGGAGGGGAGAAGGTGCATGATGCATGGGGTGGCAGAAACAGTGTGGTGATAATAATATTTTCTGAGACGTCTCAAAACGTGCGTTGAATACAAGGTGACAGGAAGGCAGCCCGCACACCCTGTGGGGTGGAGCATCGGGCTGAGGGAGAAGGAGGTGCATTGGCCGGTGGAAACAGCAGAGAGCGAGCCATAAGAACACCTTACAAGGGGGTTTACCGTTGACTGCCAGGCGATGCTCTGTCAATCTGCTAGTTTGCAAGAGATGTGTTGTTGGCACTGTCGCTGAAGTGCTTCAGTTCAGTCTGAAAAGCACCTGTAGGGTGCACTCATCTTCGGGCGGCGCAGATCCAGATATAACCCAGAGAACCATGCTGTAGGCAACTATAACGCACTGACACCGTAAGGAACCGCACTGCACAGTCTTGAGGTGCCCTCGAAACTGCTGTGCACAAGAATCAGATGCGAGCTGGAATGGACATGCTACAGACGCCTCTGCACAGAACATAGGGCGCTGCTGCCTGCCGCCCATCTACCTTGCTGCTGCTGCCCTGGGCTTTTGTTGCCATCCAGCGTTGCCATGTCCATGTGCTCCCGGCATGGACTCGCACCCACACATGCACCCACACCCACACATGCACCCACACCCACACATGCACCCACACCCACACATGCACCCACACCCACACATGCACCCACACCCACACATGCACCCACACCCACACATGCACCCACACCCACACATGCACCCACACCCACACATGCACCCACACCCACACATGCACCCACACCAACACATGCACCCACACCCACACATGCACCCACACCCACACATGCACCCACACCCGCACCCACACCCGCACCCACACCCACACCCACACCCACACCCACACCCACACCCTCGCCCACTCGCCCACATGCCCACTCGCCCACTCGCCCACTAGCCCACATCCCAGTGGCAGGAGTCGACGGTGAACAAGGATGCGTCCCTCTACCCCCCGTACAATATTTTCATGCCCACGAGTTACCAGCATGGCCACGCTACACCACATGTCCGTCGCCCACCTCCCCGCCCTCCCCTGCCCTCCCGGCGCCCCCCACCTCCGAGGGCCTGGTGTCGAAGGTCAAGGACTGGGCCTCCCCCCGCCACCAATACGTTATTCTCATGCACCTGAGTTACCAGCATGGCCACCCACTCACGCACCACCTCCACGCCCTCCCCACCCTTTCTCCCACCTACCTCCGAGGGCCTGGTGTCGAAGGTGAAGGATTGGGCCTCCCCCCGCCACCGGTACGACACAAATGTGCGCTCCACCCGCTCCAGCTCCGACAGCAGCCGCGCCTGCCACACGGGGGGAGAGGGGCGGGGAGAGGTGGGGAGGCGGGGAAGTGGGGAGGTGAGAGGAATAGACCAAAGAGTGACAAACGTGCGCTCCACCTGCTCCAGCTCCAACAGCAACCGCGCCTGGCGCATTGGGGAGAGAGGCGGGGAGGTGGGGAGGTGAGAGGAACAGACCAAAGAGTGCCAATGACAAACGTGCGTTCCACCCACTCCAACTGTGGCAGCAGCCGTGCCTGGCACGCGGGGGCGAAAGGGGGGGAGGTGGGGAGGCGGGGAAGTGGGGAGGTGAGAGGAATAGACCAAAGAGTGTCAAACGTGCGCTCCACCCGCTCCAGCTCCGACAGCAACCGCGCCTGGCGCATTGGGGAGAGAGACGGGGAGAGGGGGGGACGTGTGTGTGGGGGGGTTTGGTGGTGGTGGTGGGGGGGGATATACTGCAAAGGCGTAACTCGAATGGTCCCTCGTATTAGATAGGCGCTCCCTCACTTGCTGCACTGATCTGAACATCATCCCTGGTGCCAGCACGATCAAAGCCCCAGACTAGAAGACTAGAGCCAGCTGCCATGCCCCAGGCATACTGCGCCCTGGAATATGCGTGTGCACGCTACACGTGCGTGGGGGGGAGGTTGGTGGTGATGGGGGGGAAATATTGCAAAGCCGTAACTCGAATGGCCCTTCGAATTAGATAGGCGCCACCAACCTCAGGGGTGGGCCGCCCTCTCAGCCCACACCGCCCCACAACATAGTGCCCTGCACATCCCCAAACAGGCCGTCCTCTCACCCAGTGCGTACCCCAAACAGGCAGTTCCCCGAACAGGCAGTCCCCCAAACAGGCAGTCCTCTCAGTCAGTGCGTACCCCGGGGTAGATTTTGATGGCGAAGCCCCACGAGATGGCGGCTGTCCAATTGGCACTGCAAAGAGGGGAAGGGGCAGCGGAGGGGGAGGGATGGGGATGGAGGCATGCATGGGTTGATGCAGGGGTGAATGTCGCTGCCTGTGTGTTGTTGATGCAAATACATTCCTCAGCCCCATCCCCCATCCCCCATCCCACCCCTTCACTTCATACACATCCCCTTATACTTCAATTCCCCTGGATTCCCACCATCTGCACGGTTTTCCACCCCTCCCTATCTCCCCCCTTCTCCCAGCCCCCCCTTACCCGTCTCCACACACTGCCAGCTGTGCAAATCCAACCGGGTCGGGCCGTATCCTCTCCGCCAGCGTGGCGAGCCCGGCCGCCTTGTCAGCAATGCCAGCGGGGCGGAGGATGGGGTCCAGCTCGTCGAAGTGGTGGAGCGAGAGGAGGGGCTGCAGCGGGTGCGACATGAGCAGCCCAAACAGACTGTGCCGCAAGTCACACTGGTGGAAGCCAGGAGACGGGGTGAGGGCGATCTGCCAGGCGGGTCACAAGCGAGGGGGTGATTTGGAGAGGGGGGAAGGGGTGGACGGGTGGATGGGAGGATGGGAGGATGGGTGGGGAGTCTATTTTTGAGGCGCCTCAAAAACAGCAGCCTGAAAAGACTGTGGCGCAAGTCGCACTGGTGGAAGCCGGGAGACGGGGTGAGGGCGATCTGGCAGGCGAGAGGGAGTGAATAGGAGAAGGGGGGAAGGGGTGCATGGGTGGGAATAAACTTGTGAGGGAGAAGAGGGGAGCAGGTGAGAGGAAGAAGTGCAAAGGATGCACGGAAGGAGAGAGACGAGGACGGTGGACAGCACGAGCTGAAACGATGGCGGCTCTGATCCCCAGCAAGCCTCCTAAGAATAGATCCTCCACTCACCGCCCACCGCCCACCGCCTTCCGTCTTCAGACTACCGCCTTCCGTCTTCCGTCTTCCATCTTCCACCGTTCACCTTTCAACTTCCACCTTCCACCTTCCACCTTCTAAGCACCGCGTTCCAAGCTCCCAAGGCAGGAGAGCACCCTCCAAGCACTCACCCCCAGCTCGCCGACGCAGCTGGCCACGCGGTCATCGCTCCCCCTCAGCTCCGCGTGCCGCTCCAAGCACGTGTCCATTCCATCCTCGCCCGCGCCCTCGCCCTCGCTCAGCGCGCGCGCCAGCGCGGCGGAGATGGCAAAGCCGGCCCCGCCGAACGCCATGCCGCGCGTGAACTCCACGTTCTGCCCGTGCGTCTCAGACGCCGCGCCCAGGTACAGCGGCACGCGGTGGTCGTACTGCTGGAGGAACGCCGCCATGGCGTGAGGACTAAAGAAGGTGTCGTCATCGCCCATCACGTACCTGATACGGGGGAGTGGGGGGGGGGGGAAGGGGGGGAGCAGGCAACAAGGGTTGGTTTGCTTCTTTGGGCCCATCACGTGCCTGCTGCTTTGGAGTCGAATCAAAAGCAGACCCATCACGCACCTGCTGCTGCTGCTGCTGGTAATGGTGGTGGTGGGAGCAGGGATGGGGATTGCTTTTGGGGGGGGAAGGGGGGGGTGTTGAGGAAGAATGATTACGTTCGGTGGGAGTGAGGCCACCTCACCATCACCGCACACCCAACCAGGCCATCTCCTCATTCCGCACCTCATATTAAGACACCCACTGCTACCCTTACCCCTACTAGGGGCCCTAGTACCCCTACGGTAGTACCCTTGCCCCTACCCCCGTACCGCACAGTACCGTGCGAAATACTATCAGGTTGAGCCCGAGTGGGGGGAGGAGGGGGGGGAGGGAGGTCAGGCGCGCGCCACCATCGCTCGCACGCGTCGCTGACTTTGATGACTTTGAGGGACTCGACTCAAAACGCACGCACCATCGCACGCGTCGCTCGCGCAGCCGGTACGCGTCCACCACGATGCGCGCCATGCGCACGTAGTCCCGCAGCCCGCTCCCCCGGTAGCTCAGGTGCGCCGCGCTGCTGCTGACCCGCACAGGCGGGACTCCGCCTCCGCCGACGCCGCCGCCACCCCGGCCTGCGCGGCACCGGAGCGCCTTGGGAATGCCGGCCACGTCATCCACCCACACATAGCCACGGAGCGAGTCCTCCTCGGCGCGCCACCAGGCGCGCAGGTACTGCGCGCGCTTCGCGAAGCTGCCTTTGGACGACGCGATGTTGAAGAGTATGTGCTGTAACCCCGTCTCCTCCCATCTCTCCTCGCTCCCCCCCTCCTCCTCCCCCTCCTCCCCCTCCTTCCCCTCCTCCTCCAACCCCTTCCCCCCTTGCTCCTCTGCTCCCTCTCGCGGCGTCACACGATCCCCTTCCCCTTGTTCCGCTCCCGCTTCCGCCAGGCGGCGTTCTGCCGCGTCACCACCGCTACTACTACTACGAGAAGCACGCTGCCGCAGCGTGCTACGCGGCGTCCTCCCAGCACCAGCTTCGACCTCACTCGCCTCCGCGGCATCGGAGAAGAGGGGGGCGAGTTTTGGTACTTGCTTTTGTGTTGCCGGGGTCTCGCCATTTTGGGGTGAGATCCTCGGAACTTCCTGGCCAGTTGTTTGCGATTTCTAGGTAGGTCGTCATTGGTGGAATCTTGACACGGTGGACTGGATGCACGCGAGTTGCTCTGATTGGCGAGAGGTTCACAATACGTTTTCGCAAGGGGGGCAACCTGCCCTTTTCCGCTGGTCGTTAAAAATTCTTTAGTAACACGTTTGCGAGAAGCCTAACCTTGAGGCGGGTACATCGCCACAGAGTGACCTGACTCTACATTCGTTTTTAAAAGGATGTATGAACAGCTTCATTACGTCATGCATTATTGCGCTCTATATTACAACCTATTTCCGTCATTCGTCGAATAATTTTATGTGCTAAATCGGAAAAAATTGTTTTGAATATTTTTTACAAATGTAATTCGACATGCGTTCTAAGTTGTTTGGAATAGTTTAAATTTCTGTAACGCATAACGGCGTTTCAAGACGTATCTATTTGTTATTGTAAGTCTTGTAGAGGTTTTCCTTATTTTGGTGAGTCTTTTATGGCAACGTAATTTTCTTGTTGTTGTATATAGTGACGGGTTTTTGTTGTTGCATTCTGCAGTGTTCTGTGCGTTATATTGACAGTGCGCTGCCCGCCACAGCACAGCCCAACTTTGGTTGGCTCGCGCCGCCCAACAAAATCTCGCGCGAAATATCCAGCAGTTTGGGTCGTACTTCCCGGCCCGTCACGCAACGGCCAGCGTGTCAAGTCAGGGCTAGCGTGTCAGAGCGTGAGTGGCCCAGTCAGCGAATGGCGAGAAGTTTCGATCAACAGGGGGGAGCGAGCAGCCCACTGATAGCTGTTGCTGCGTCCAATTATAATCCTGCGTAACGCTGTGTTATTGGTTGAAATGAATACTTAACCAGTATTGCAAAGCCACGTCGTATGGACCCATGATGGCATTTTTCTGCGCTAGTTCTGCGCTAGCACTCGAATTCTCACCACCTTCTCCAACCCCGTCTTGCTTTCAGTGTTGGGTCAAGCCTTCCTAAGCTGACTCTGGTACAAGGAAAGAGGCGTTCTAGGAAGCTGCACGTTAGACGAATTTGCCACCAGTGGCGACTCCTGTACGTCCCAATTCTGGTTTAGTAACTCGTACTCCAGCCGCTCCTAATGCGCCACTTTAATTTCCAGCCGAGATGTACTTAAGGTATGTAGGACGTTTTCTGAGCAGATTCGTTTCCTATTTACATGTCTATTTCTAAATACAGCTTGTCATCCGTAGGCAATAACACATGTTTAATTAGATTCCCGTCTCATTTCCTCCATTAGGACAATGTAGTGTCCAGCCTAGATGGTTCTTCAAGCGAAGATGACCCTTCTCTTATAGGTTACCCCTTGACATTCCTCAAAAGGCCTCGTTAATTGATTGCTGGCGCTCCAAGCTCGTAGCATGGATTTAGGTCGTGCTCTGATCCTACTCACCTGGTCGCTACTCCTAGTTGTACACAGCCATTCCTCGGTAGTAGGATTGGTGCGTATGGCTGGAGTTAGGAATCTCCCCATCGCTTGTGGTGAACCGGGTTGCATTGAGAGGTTCTCCTGTCCTAACGAGAGACTGCTGCACCGCCGACAGAAAATACATACGTTTCCAGAGCAACCAGCAGGGCAACAAGCACCTAGCTTCCGCGATCTAGAGGCTTTACAAGAGGTAATAGAGCAGACAACAGCTGATCGTCGCACCAAGCGTAGAGCTAGTAGTGTGCCTAATGAAGGGGACTGTATTCCCGATGGACCATGTCCTTCGGGAGATTCACGCCCCAACATGGACGCGAGTGGATGCGGGGTGGCGCACGAGAAGAGCCTGAAGAAAACGTCCACAGATAAGCGCTTTTTTGTATTTTGCAAAAAAACAGCAGGAGGCATGGGGTTATCTCGGCCAGAAATTGCAGAGCTGGTAGATATTATGAAGAGCAGTCAGTTAGATCCTTGCACTTTCGAATCAATGGCGGACGTTGACCGTTTTGAGGAGAAGGAAGCTGGTGGTGTGGTGATGGAGAAATTCAGGGATAGCGATCTAGCATCTCCCTCAGATCGGAAGCCGATCATGCTGCGATGGCGTTCCTTGTGGTCTTGCGCCAAGAATTTATACAGCAATCCGGCAAATGCAGTAGACTTTATTGCGCACCCTCAACCATTAGTTGCAGAAGCGGATAGGGTGTACCGAGATCCTGATAGTGGTACCTGGTGGTGGTTTGCACAGCAAGATCTGCCGGAGGGTGCATCTATTGTAGCTCTAATTGTGTACTCTGATGAAACCAACCTCTCGAAAGATGGATCAGTTACCGGTTGGCCAGTGTATGTGTCGCTGGCCAACATTTCATCTGGAAATCGCTGGAAACCACATGGAAGGCGCCTTGTAGCTCTGCTACCGAAGGTGACTGAAGACATGCTTGCCCCTGGTAGCTGCATCGTCCGAAGACGCATGGAGATCTTTCAACAGGCTCTGGACATGATTATGGGAGACTGCATGGCAGCTGCAGACAAGGGAGAACCAGTGCTTGACCCATACGGCATTCGACGCATGGCATATCCATTGTTGTATGCATATGTTGGAGACTACCCGGAACAGTGCAAGGTTGCAGGAACCAAGTCTGGACACTCAACCAATTTTCCCTGCCCTCGCTGCATGGTGCACCGGAAGCAGCTGGCAAAGACAGAAATGCGGGCACAGCGAACGGTGGCAGCACAGAAGCACACATGGATGGAAATGGGGTGCCTTCGTCAACCTACTGATCTCCTGAGGCTCGAAACAGCCAACAGTCAACACCATGTGCAGGTGAGTTACGGGTGGGGATGGAAAGGGGGAACGGGGTGAAGGGATGCGAGGAGAGGGAAGGTGGGATGGGCAGAGAGGGATGGAGGAATGGGCAGAGAGGGATGGAGGGATGGGCAGAGAGGGATGAAGGGACGGGCAGGGAGGGATGAAGGGACGGGCAGGGAGGGATGCAGTGACGGGCAGGGAGGAATGAAGGGACGGGCAGGGAGGAATGCAGTGACGGGCAGGGAGGGATTAAGGGACGGGCAGGGAGGGATGAAAGGATGGGCAGGGAGGGATGAAGGGACGGGCAGGGAGGGATGAAGGGACGGGCAGGGAGGAATGCAATGACGGGCAGGGAGGGATTAAGGGACGGGCAGGGAGGGATGAAAGGATGGGCAGGGAGGAATGCAATGACGGGCAGGGAATCCTCTTATCCCTACCATCCCCACCCTTCGTCCCTCTGATCCCATCCTCTTATCCCCACCATCCCCACCCTTTGTCCCTCTCATCCCATCCCTTGTTCCCTCTTATCCCAACCCTTCATCCCTCTCCCACCATCCTCTTATCCCTACCATCCCCACCCTTCGTCCCTCTGATCCCATTCTCTTATCCCCACCATCCCCACCCTTTGTCCCTCTCATCCCATCCCTTGTTCCCTCTTATCCCAACCCTTCATCCCTCTCCCACCATCCTCTTATCCCTACCATCCCCACCCTTCATCCCTCTGATCCCATCCTCTTATCCCCACCATCCCCACCCTTTGTCCCTCTCATCCCATCCCTTCATCCCTCTTATCCCATCCTCTTATCCCCACCACCCCCATCCCTTCATCCCTCTGATCCCATCCTCCTATCCCCACCACCCCCATCCCTTCTTCCCTCTGATCCCATCCCTTGTTCCCTCTCATCCCGTCCCTTGCTCCCTCTCATCGCTCTCAGCCCACCCATCCCATCCCCGCATTCGTGTCCTTCCCATCCCTCCCTAATTCACTCTCTACCAGGCCTTGGAGAGTGGAACGCCAACTGTCACAGGTCGGAATGGTCAGATCAACATGGACCAGCCAACTGGCAACCATTGGCAGCAACTGTGTGCCACTGCTCCTGGGGACATGGACCGTTTACAACCAACCATTCGAGGAACGCTGTTGGCTGGAGAAACATGCGATGCCACCATTCACCTGCACACCGGTGTAGGTATCCCAGGAGGTGAGAACTACGATTTGTACAGCAGGCATGCTCAGTATGCCAGAGCCACACCTTCTTTCTACGGGAAGCCTTGGTACTCAGATGTATCTAGAAAGGAGGCAGTGGCAGGACGGGTCCATCGCGTGCGTTTTGGCAAACTGCTGCTCATGTTCACCCTTACAAAAACCACCATGCTGACGGAGAATGGGGTTCGGGTCAAGGAGATTATGCAAGACCAGATGGGCTTCATCAGGAACTATGAGAGCACAGGTCCTACCGAAGATTATGACTTGGAGAGGTTGGTTTGGAGCGCAGGGGTAGACGAGTACTCTATTTTTCCCATATCCCACATCCTGCGCACACTGCACGTGGTCCCTACATCTCCAGACCCCAAATCATCTAGCGCCACCTTTATATTGAACACGTTTAGGCGATAAGCACATACCTAGTTTGCAATGAAATTGCTTGGTCAGCGTAGCGATTTACGACATATCTCCCATGTTCTGGTGGGCTTAATATTCACACCAATGGAGGCAGGTTTACTTGTGCAACCCACGAAGCAATTTGCAATTTCAACATAGATGATATTGATAAATAATGATAATATAATTTGAATGGTGTGTGTCTTATTTCCAGTGCCGTTTAGTATGCTTGTGTAGGATACTTGTGGGAAAGTGTACGTCTCGGACGCGCTATAAGAACGCCCCATACAGCGCTCTAAGGTGCTTTTCGGCTGGTGCGTTTTGTGCCAACGGCCCACAACCGCGGAGACAGGTGAGGTGGCAGCGGGACTGCAGGAATTATTCGGCACCATCAGGTGCGCTTTGTCTGTACTCGACTGTAAAGCGCCACATCAGCACCCCTTCCCCGAACAGCGAGTAGCAAACCAAGTTTTGGCGCAAACGCTTTGCTGCTTTGAGTTGCGCGTGGAATACCTCACCCCAAGCAGGCCTCTGGATGTCAGGGTAGTTACACTGGTTTGTCATGGAAAAACAGGGTAAAAGCACGTACGGGCTGGTCGAAACTCTGGCATGCGAAAACAGTCAGGGCTACCCAGATTGGACGAGTTGGAGCCCACGCAAACTCGGATTCTCCAAGGTGACCCCCTAGGCTTTCGAGAGGGTTGGCCCCAAGCCTTTCAAGCCACAGCAACAGCCAAGCCTAAGAGCACTGATTTAGCGTGGCGCAACTGCTTTCATGCACTGAAACTTCCGCGGAACACTTCCGAATTGTGGTCGTACTTCGGTAACATACGCGTTTTGTAAATTACAGCCTCGTTTGCTGTCCAATTCGACAGTGTGTGACTGGTGCATCGTGACCATACACTGCCCGACGCAAAAAAAAAGACACACAGGCCAATCTTTCCGCCACTTCCTTGTCAGTCCCCCTTCGCCTCAAAAAAACTCCCCTGCCTTGCAAGGGTTTGACGGACAACCAGCAAAACCCACAACGCCTTCCGCAGCTGTGTTTGCAATTTCAAACTCGAGGTTTGAACTTCGAACTTCGAAGTTCATACTTCAGACTTCGAACTTCGAACGCATAGCTCCCCCCCACTTGTACAAAGAGCCGCCGTCGCAAAACCCATTTTTCCCGCCATCCGCCCCACCCCCTGAAATCCTATACAGAGCGAAATGTGATATAAACAAGCTCAGAGATAGTACTAGGGCGGTTCGTCTCAGGATTCACGAAACTCAAGTTTCAGCTCACCAGGTGTGACCCTTGTTTTCTATAAAAGCTCAGTTGCCCAATCATTGTCATCAGCGCAAGACGTTTACAAGCTCTCTGTAGTTCCCTTATAGTATTCTCACGCCACTCTCTCGTTTCTTTCACGATGGCCCCTAAGGGAAACCAAGTTCCACCTGAGGTGCTCGCAATGGCACAACGTCAGCAGCCCAGCCGTGGCACGAAGAGCAACCATGCGACCCTCGGCGGTCATTACAAGGATCAAGGTACTTACTGCCTTCCTCTTTTGGCACATTCCGGTCGATTCCCTTTGCACAGTTTTTGCGACTAACCCTAACTTCCAACAATTTCAGGAGGTCTAGCTGAAGCACAGACTGAGAGCGGTGGCCAATCATTTGCTGGTGAGATTGTTGGGCTGCAGTTACCTGATATGGGACCGCCTGCGCTGGCAACCGGCAGAAGTGGCGTGAGGAGCCTCAGCGCTGTTCTGCAGCAGGCCCCTCGTGCGCCTTCCCCTTGCAACGTTGCGAGTAACAATGGTACGAATGTCCCGTTGCCTTAGGTCCGCACGCTTTTACCCCATGCTAACTTGTATCTTGTCATTCACCAATGCAGATTCGGGGATCAACGGTGAGGTCAACCATGAAGCCCCTGCTTCTGCGTCACATCTTCCATCCAGCCCAGCCAGGCTCCCAGCCCAGCCTACTGCTGCCTCAACGCCTGTCCATGCTCCTCCCACGCTTGGTGCAACTGGTGATGCCTCAATTCCAGCAGCTGCCACGGCCTTCACGGCAGCGGAGGCGAACCAGCAAACGGACGAGGATGAGGCGATCATCATGCCTACAGGTAAAATTTGCTCCTGTTCATTCCGCCCTTTAGTTTGCAGCTAAATCCGATGAGTAACCCAATTCTGGCGGTTCTTGCAGCTTATACCGCTGTTGGTACCCGGCTGTTTAAGCGAGCCGCTGGCGTCGAGACAAACGGTGGGGTGGATCTGCTCTACAGCGAGAAAGGCCGGAAGGTGTCAAGGCTCAATGACGATGTTCGTCTGCGAAACACGCAGCTTGAGGAGGAAGCACTTGCTTCTAGAGACGAACTTCAACGACAGACGGTGGTCACCACTACGTCGCTGAGGGCGGTAGAGAACTTGGCCAACCAAATAGAGAAGAAGGTTCTCACGGACAAGCGCGTTAATGTAAGTATCCATTCCGCCCTTCACAAGTCTGTGTGTTCGCTTCCCCCCTTTCCCTCCTCCCATCATGTCCCTTGTTCCCTCTCCGCCCATCCCTTGATCCAGCTCTACCCATCCTTCCATCCCCATCCCTCATGCCCTCGTCCCATCTGCCCATCCCTTCATAACTTTTGCCCTTCCCCCCTTCTCCCTCTCTACATCCCTTCATCCCGCCCATCCCTTCATCCCGCCCATCCCTTCATCCCGCCCATCCCTTCATCCCGCCCATCCCTTCATCCCGCCCATCCCTTCATCCCGCCCATCCCTTCATCCCGCCCATCCCTTCATCCCGCCTCCCTTCATCCCGCCCATCCCCCCCCCCTTCATCCCGCCCATCCCTTCATCCCGCCCATCCCTTCATCCCGCCCATCCCTTCATCCCGCCCATCCCTTCATCCCGCCCATCCCTTCATCCCGCCCATCCCTTCATCCCGCCCATCCCTTCATCCGCCCATCCCTTCATCCCGCCCATCCCTTCATCCCGCCCATCCCTTCATCCCGCCCATCCCTTCATCCCGCCCATCCCTTCATCCCGCCCATCCTTCATCCCGCCCATCCCTTCATCCCGCCCATCCCTTCATCCCGCCCATCCCTTCATCCCGCCCATCCCTTCATCCCGCCCATCCCTTCATCCCGCCCATCCTTCATCCCGCCCATCCTTCATCCGCCCATCCCTTCATCCCGCCCATCCCTTCATCCCTCCCATCCCTTCATCCCGCCCATCCCTTCATCCCGCCCATCCCTTCATCCCGCCCATCCCTTCATCCCGCCCATCCCTTCATCCCGCCCATCCCTTCATCCCGCCCACCCTCCCCATCCCTTCATCCCGCCCATCCCTTCATCCCGCCCATCCCTTCATCCCGCCCATCCCTTCATCCCGCCCATCCCTTCATCCCGCCCATCCCTTCATCCCGCCCATCCCTTCATCCCGCCCATCCCTTCATCCCGCCCATCCCTTCATCCCGCCCATCCCTTCATCCCGCCCATCCCTTCATCCCGCCCATCTTCATCCCGCCATCCCTTCATCCCGCCCATCCCTTCATCCCTCCCATCCCTTCATCCCGCCCATCCCTTCATCCCCCCCATCCCTTCATCCCGTGCAGGACATCATGAAGCAGGCAGTTAGCCTCACCATCAGCAAGCCCCCGTACATTAACTATGCTCCAGATGAAGCCCACTGGCTGACCCTCTTTGTTGGTATGTGATGCAGCGATTTTGCTATCAAATTTTGCCTCTGTCCCTTAATTCAACGTGGTGTTCTTTTTCAGAGTCACGATTTGTTGTTTCAACCTTACCTGGTCAGATCTACTCGCCACCCGTTTTCTACTGCTGTGCAGAGCTGGCAAACGTGCAGCCACTCTCAGAAACCGCATTCAAGCTTAAGCTTGAATTATCAAACTCTGATGCCTTAGAGCGGACTGCCAAAATGTTCAACAACAGGTTTGGGAAAAGGCTTTCCAACCTCAGGCTCGGAGCTCTCCTTAACTCCCCTCTTAAGCTAATCAAGGCTGTGATAAACAGCGACGGGAAGAAGTGCTACAAGAAGGACACTGAGTTCGCACTTGCATGTGTGAAGTGGGTTGCTGAGAACGCAATTGGTGAGTAGTTACTCTCCTGCTCTCTTGATCGTTGTCACACACCTGGTGCTAGCCTAAACTCCCTTGTTGTTTGCAGATGACACAGGGATCCCTTGGCATGAGTGGTTGGGCGTCCCGTTCTCGAGCCCTGCCTTTCTTGCGGTGGGGAAAGTGTGGACAGGGAAGGCTGGTCCGGTCGTAGCGCTGCACCGACATCAGCTCACCCTCACAATGGCCGTGGTGAGCCCACGGCTCTTCCTGTCCGTCCCTTCATCCCTCCCTGCCCGTCCCTTCATCCCTTCCTGCCCGTCACTGCATCCCTCCCTGCCCGTCACTGCATCCCTCCCTGCCCGTCCCTTCATCTCTCCCTGCCCGTCCCTTCATCCCTCCCTGCCCGTCCCTTCATCTCTCCCTGCCCGTCCCTTCATCCCTCCCTGCCCGTCCCTTCATCCCTTCCTGCCCGTCACTGCATTCCTCCCTGCCCGTCACTGCATCCCTCCCTGCCCGTCCCTTCATCTCTCCCTGCCCGTCCCTTCATCCCTCCCTGCCCGTCCCTTCATCCCTTCCTGCCCGTCACTGCATCCCTCCCTGCCCGTCACTGCATCCCTCCCTGCCCGTCCCTTCATCTCTCCCTGCCCGTCCCTTCATCCCTCCCTGCCCGTCCCTTCATCCCTCCCTGCCCGTCCCTTCATCCCTCCCTGCCCGTCACTGCATCCCTCCCTGCCCGTCCCTTCATCCCTCCCTGCCCGTCACTGCATCCCTCCCTGCCCGTCCCTTCATCCCTCCCTGCCCGTCCCTTCATCTCTCCCTGCCCGTCCTTTCATCCCTCCCTGCCCGTCCCTTCATCCCTCCCTGCCCGTCACTGCATCCCTCCCTGCCCGTCCCTTCATCCCTCCCTGCCCGTCACTTCATCCCTCCCTGCCCGTCACTGCATCCCTCCCTGCCCGTCCCTTCATCCCTCCCTGCCCGTCCCTTCATCTCTCCCTGCCCGTCCTTTCATCCCTCCCTGCCCGTCCCTTCATCCCTCCCTGCCCGTCCCTTCATCCCTCCCTGCCCGTCCCTTCATCCCTCCCTGCCCGTCACTGCATCCCTCCCTGCCCGTCCCTTCATCCCTCCCTGCCCGTCCCTTCATCCCTCCCTGCCCGTCCCTTCATCCCTCCCTGCCCGTCCCTTCATCCCTCCCTGCCCGTCCCTTCATCCCTTCCTGCCCGTCACTGCATCCCTCCCTGCCCGTCCCTTCATCCCTCCCTGCCGTCACTGCATCCCTCCCTGCCCGTCCCTTCATCTCTCCCTGCCCGTCCCTTCATCCCTCCCTGCCCGTCCCTTCATCCCTTCCTGCCCGTCACTGCATCCCTCCCTGCCCGTCCCTTCATCCCTCCCTGCCCGTCACTTCATCCCTCCCTGCCCGTCCCTTCATCCCTCCCTGCCCGTCCCTTCATCCCTTCCTGCCCGTCACTGCATCCCTTCCTGCCCGTCCCTTCATCCCTCCCTGCCCGTCACTTCATCCCTCCCTGCCCGTCCCTTCATCCCTCCCTGCCCGTCCCTTCATCCCTTCCTGCCCGTCACTGCATCCCTCCCTGCCCGTCACTGCATCCCTCCCTGCCCGTCCCTTCATCTCTCCCTGCCCGTCCCTTCATCCCTCCCTGCCCGTCCCTTCATCTCCCTGCCCGTCCCTTCATCCCTCCCTGCCCGTCCCTTCATCCCTCCCTGCCCGTCCCTTCATCCCTCCCTGCCCGTCACTGCATCCCTCCTGCCCGTCCCTTCATCCCTCCCTGCCCGTCCCTTCATCCCTCCCTGCCCGTCACTGCATCCCTCCCTGCCCGTCCCTTCATCCCTCCCTGCCCGTCCCTTCATCCCTCCCTGCCCGTCACTGCATCCCTCCCTGCCCGTCCCTTCATCCCTCCCTGCCCGTCACTGCATCCCTCCCTGCCCGTCCCTTCATCCCTCCCTGCCCGTCCCTTCATCCCTCCCTGCCCGTCCCTTCATCCCTCCCTGCCCGTCACTGCATCCCTCCCTGCCCGTCCCTTCATCCCTCCCTGCCCGTCCCTTCATCCCTCCCTGCCCGTCACTGCATCCCTCCCTGCCCGTCCCTTCATCCCTCCCTGCCCGTCACTGCATCCCTCCCTGCCCGTCCCTTCATCCCTCGCTGCCCGTCCCTTCATCCCTCCCTGCCCGTCCCTTCATCCCTCCCTGCCCGTCCCTTCATCCCTCCCTGCCCGTCCTCATCCCTCCCTGCCCGTCACTGCATCCCTCCCTGCCCGTCCCTTCATCCCTCCCTGCCCGTCCCTTCATCCCTCCCTGCCCGTCCCTTCATCCCTTCCTGCCCGTCACTGCATCCCTCCCTGCCCGTCACTGCATCCCTCCCTGCCCGTCCCTTCATCTCTCCCTGCCCGTCCCTTCATCCCTCCCTGCCCGTCCCTTCATCTCTCCCTGCCCGTCCCTTCATCCCTCCCTGCCCGTCCCTTCATCCCTCCCTGCCCGTCCCTTCATCCCTCCCTGCCCGTCACTGCATCCCTCCCTGCCCGTCCCTTCATCCCTCCCTGCCCGTCCCTTCATCCCTCCCTGCCCGTCACTGCATCCCTCCCTGCCCGTCCCTTCATCCCTCCCTGCCCGTCCCTTCATCCCTCCCTGCCCGTCACTGCATCCCTCCCTGCCCGTCCCTTCATCCCTCCCTGCCCGTCACTGCATCCCTCCCTGCCCGTCCCTTCATCCCTCCCTGCCCGTCCCTTCATCCCTCCCTGCCCGTCCCTTCATCCCTCCCTGCCCGTCCCCTCATTCTGCCCTTCCTGCCACTTTATCCCTCCCTCCCCATCCCTCATTCTCTCTCATCCCATCTGCCCATCCCTTCATCCCTTTTTGCCCTCCCCCCCTTCCCTCTCATCCCATCTCTTGATCCCTCCCTTCCCATCCCTCCATCCCTCTCTCCCCATCGCTCCTTTCCTCCTTCTCATCCTTCCATCCCTCTCTGCCCATCCCTTCATTCCTCTCTGCCCATTCCCCTGCCCCTCTCTCTCCATCCCTTCATCCCTCCCTTCCCATCCCTTCATCCCTCTCTCTGCCCATCCCTCCTTCCCTCTTGATCTGCAGATTCGTCACAAGTTGCGCAATCCGAACATGGCACGCGTTCAGCTAGAAAGGTCTGGAGATCCTGATGCCCTCGGAAGGCAGGAGCGCGTCGTTCAGCGCCTGCTCAACCGGTTCCAGGCCACCAAGTACAACGGCAACAACTACTTCATCGGCAAGCTGTACCTCATGGATTGGGTGGATGTCCCAGAGAACATCCTGGCCCTTGATTTCGTGGGGGACCGTGACGTAGATGATGTGGTTGAAGGCGACCTGAATGGAGAGGGTGTGGAGGTTATTTTCTGAAGGGAGCGATGGGGCAGGTGGAGAAGGTCATGTTGCATCTGGATGTGCTTCATGATCAGGGATGTGATTCAGAAGTGCTGCTGTTTTGGAAGTTGATTACGGTTTGTCTTTCATGTTGGATGAGGAGGTATTGTTGAGGGTTGTTTTTCATTGCCAATAATATCTGTTATGGTTTGCGGGTTTAATAATGAATGGAATAATAACGACCTAAACCCTGAGTAATACAATTTTTCAAATCGAGCTATATAAATATTGTCAAAAATTTATTCAGTTATATACATCAAATATACGTACAACATAAGTGTTTAATTTACTGTCCAGTGATTACAACTCGTGGCACAAAAGATGTCCATTGCAGCGAAAGTCTAATAACAAAATTGGCGAGTCGAAGCAATACGATCGCAACTCTCCTTCGACGTGCACACCGAACCCCAATTTCCGAACCGAATTGCTCGACGCGATTCGGTTTGGTTGGGAATGTTGCGGGAAAGACGAAGACGTTCTTGAGGACGACTCGCCAATTCCCAGACAACCCCCTCCGAAGCAAGGGACTTTCCCCCAACACACCTTCGACTTGAAAAACCTTTCCCCCCCTTCTCCGATGGGCCGCCGCGCTCAAGGAATCCCCTCCCGCCGCCACCGCGGCCACCGCCGCCGCAGCGGCGCCATGATCCGTCGGGCGATCTTGGCAGGCGGCGGCGGCGCATGGCGCTGCAGTCTGGCCACGGAAGCCGCCAGACTCTGGCTGCTCCGACTCCGCCGGGCTCGGACCGCCGCAATCATCCGACTCGGATACTGGGTCATCACTATTACTAATAGTATCATTACTACTATCACCAGGTGCGCCGCCGGAGAGCGCCGTCTGCAGCCACTGCCACCACCTACTCAGGCTGTTAGACCAGCTACTATTAGGCAACGGAGCCACCACTTCGAACCCAGTGGTACTAATATTAGCCGTTGAAGCATGGGCTTCCGCGGCTCGGAGCCCCTCGAATCGTCCCTTCCGCTCGCCGTGCCGAGTGCGAATCGCCGCGGTGCTTGACGCGTCGCGGAAAGAGGGAGACTTGGTGAAGGTCTCATCCGATGACCGAGACCCGGAGTCTACGTCGTACTCGTATGAGACCCCGAGCCAGCCGTTGCGTAAGATCTGACCGTTGATCGACGAGTAAGAGTCGCGAAATGAAAACAGCTGGAGAGAGGAGGAAAATACGAGAAAGGCGCCGAAGGCGACACAAATTAGCGAGGCTATAGCGGGGATCAGTAGCGTCCGTGCGCTGAGGGGGTGGTTACCAGTCGACGTCATCTCTCGACTGATGTATGAACTATGAACGAACTATGGTATGGACGATGGCTCTAGTAGCTCTAGTAGAGGAGCGACCTCATAGTGAACACTAAAAACAGACGAAAAATGGAATACAGTGAGCCGAGGAGGAGTGGGAGGTGAGGCACTCACCTGGTGATCCAGCGTGAGCTTGTACCGCTAGATAGCATCCACTCAGAGCAGCCTCAAGTTCTCGGTGCCGGCCGAGAAGCTGAGACAAGTGTTTGCCCTCAGCAGGGAGGCACGAGTTGTGCACTGTGCACGCGTGAAGGGTTGCTTGCATTCCTGAGGGATTTGGTGACCAGACCTGTTCATTCAAGGGCAATGTTTCTCAATGTTCTGAACATTCCGGGTAGGTCGTCCGTCAGGGTCCGACTTTTCAGGCTTTAATTCGGGACTAGCCCGTGATGGTTAAGGGTTTCGTTCGGCCCTTTCCCGGATTCTTTCAAGGCGGAGTTTAGGCCTTTTCCTGATTTTCCATAACGGGGTCTAGACATACCCCGACCTTGGCATACCTTCCTTGCCCACCCATACCACCCCACCTTCCCCTTTGGCTAGTATAATTTGGCAAAGTCCTCCAAACCAGAGACATCCCTCCCACATCCCACCCGAACTCAGAAAATTCCTCGAAGTCCTCGAAACCAGAGATTCTTCCCACACCCCAGCCAAACATGGGAAAATCGATGAAGTCCCCCACACCCACAGACCTTCCTCCCACCCCCCTCGCACCCCCAGAGAATTCGACAAGCCCCCACAGCCCGAGGCAATACTCCAACATCCCCTCCTCCCACACCCCCACTTCCCCCTCCCCCATCTCCACCGATATTTATTTTGGCCGTCTCCAAAGCGAGTCACAAGCCCTCCCACACACTCCCGCATCCCAGAAATTGGCTAAGTCCGTGGCACCTATGAATAACTGAGAAATGTGCACTGCTAATAGATTTGGCACACATTCTCCTGCGAAAATAGGCTGGCCTCCCCACTCAGCATCTTGCCTAACCAGATGTAGGATAACGAAGGATTTTTTTTTTCTCTCCAGCAAAGTACAGACTCCAACGCAGCCCTGATTTTAAGTTCTGGTTTGGACCCCAGCCCGTACGCTTCAGGACTCAGTTTGGTCGCTTTCCGGAAATTTCAGGGCTGTTTTCGGGGGACCTCAGCCACCCAAGCATTGGTCCCAAACCAATCGACAGCTCTGTTGGTGACTCGGGCATTGAACCCCTTCTCGGCGTAGGCTGTTTTACTCGTTCTGTTCATGGTGGGTGCCTTGGCGTATTGACCACCTGGTACTATGTTACCAGCGATTTCGCCTCGTGTCATGTGAGGGGTCATGTGGCCTCTACAAAAACGCTCAGCGAATATGTCGTCTGGTCAGAAACACGCGGACAAAAAAAAAAAAAAAAAAAAAAAAAAAAAAAAAAAAAAAAAAACGTCACACCTCGTCTCGACCATCCCACAAGCAGCGCAGGCTCAAAACGCGCAAAACAAGTAATAAGGAAAACCCATTTCGTGGTTTCGCAAAAAGGGCTAAATGGAACCAAACTTTGACGACTTTATTGAAGATTTTCGTTAACCAACCACACGTTTTTACGAAAGCGAAAGAGACCCCTTTGAGAAAATCATTTTCGAAATGTGCAGCTGTTCATGGTGATTGAGGGATAAAGGGTCCTGTTTTCGTATTCGGGACGGTTCTGTTCGTGCAATGAGGAAAGCCTGAATATTTGCGTGCTTGGTTTTTTCTTTTTCTTTTTTAATATATTGCCTCGAATGCTCTTGACACGAGGAATAGGTCCGTAATCGTAAGACAGAATGCTTGAAAATGATTGCACAGTACACGTGCCTGCGAATAACTTGCTGGTTGTCCAACTGGCGATATTTTATTGGCCGTTGGGCCGCCGTCTGGATTGCGGACCCAGTTTATTGAGAGTGAGTGGCATATATGGCGGTATTGGATTTCGCGAAACAAATCTGCAACTTTCGTCCAGCCATTCTCAAATCGCAAGGAACCTCGTCAGAAATTTCATTGGCAGAGGGGGCATTTGCGACGTTGACCGTACGCACTACAGTGGTTGTATGCCGTACGATCGGAGTACAGCATGCTGGATCCTATTGAATTATGGACGGTAGGACAGAATCTGGACAAAAATGTCGACTGTGCAGATACAGGTTCAGCTAGGGGGTCGCGTCGCGACGAGAGTTAGGGAGGTCGCGACGGCTGGCAATGGCAAGTGCTGCTGGAACCGCCAAGAAAATGCCCGAGGATACCACTCCAAGCAATTATACACGTGAAACCCGCTTTTCAACCTAGAAACATGTTTAGGTGCGAATTTGAAATGCGCAGGCCTTTCAGAAGCTTTGCCGCGGACAAGTGGGACCTTTCGGACTTTAAGGGGAAGCTACCTGGGGAGAAATTGGGATGCGATTTCTGATTAGGGAGAATTTGGAGCAAATGTTTGGCGAACATTACGTGTACATGCTGAGGCATTCGGGTGTCCAGGGTGGGATGTGGTATGGACAGTTTAGGCGGATGTCGAAGAGGGTATAGCTAGGTGAGACGTGGTTTGGTACTATGGACACCCTTCCGTCGACATTTACGCGGATGCCCGAAAATCGGACTCAGGGATTTTTCCCAGCGAATGCTAGACCTGAGGGTTTACCGGGAAGATCCGAGGCTGGAAAAAATTGCCTCGGGTCTTGCAAAAAACTGCCGGCTACAGCCAGTCAGCTGTTAAACCGAACAACTAACAAAGTCGCGCAAATGAACTTCCACCAATCATAACTTCGTAAAATTCTGGTGGAGTAAACATTTCGGCCAGTATAGTCGTAACCCTCCCCTTGCGACAGCTCACGACTATGCAGCCGCTGCACCGACAAGAAAATTAAACCCACAGTTTGGTTGTGACTGCACCGACCTCGAGTCTGACACTCGCTGCGGAAGTGCCCTGACCACAGTATTTCGAGGCGCCCTCGGTGAAGATCCGTGAATTGGAGATTGCCCGTTCGCATGCCCGTTTATCCTATCCAACAGAACTCGAATCCGACGGATGTCGGCGGAGTTGAGGACTGGTAAAAGCGGGGACAAACGAGGATCGAGAGTGTTCATCGATCCGCAATATCGATGGCGACGATCGATTGGACACTCGATATTGCAGAAGTGTCAACGCCGATATTGCAACTCGAGAATGCCCAACCTTCCACACGTCGAGCCGCGTCCCGGGGGTCATTTTGACTGCTGACGTCAACACTTTCGACACTGTCGTGTGTTACAAAGTGGGGATTCAGGTAACTGGTCCTAAAATCGATCGTCAGTCACGATCGATCCTACACTCTTCCACGTCCTGAGTACTCGAGACACACCCCGACTGAACATTCACAGATGTTCCTGTCAGTACTGCTGAACTGTACGGCAAACAAACCCCAAGATGTGTCACCTGGGCGATGTTTTACAATCACATGTGGTGGCCGTTTCATGTTTTTTTTTCAGCATTATTGCGTTTGAGTACAATCACTACTATTATTTTTAAACACACTTTTACCAATTACACATACTACGGTATGTCCGCATTCTTCGACACTTCACAGGTAATTCAGTATTGTACTAGGCAGAACCCCTTGACATCCACCTAAGACCAGCACAATGCTAGCCTGCATGACTAAAGCCAAGCAGATGCACGACGAGTGAAACCACCCCACAACGATGAAACATGATGCATGTTATGCACCTCGTGTAATGAGTCTGCTTTTGAGTCGACTCAAAAGCAAGCAGATGCACGACGAGTGAAACCACCCCTCAACCCCCATGGTGCAACATGATGCATGTTATGGGAGGGATGCAACCAAGTGCACAAAAGCAGCAGCGAGATTAGCTATGACAACGACCACCACAGGCAGAAACGTGCGGAATGTCATGCCATAGAGAGCAGTTCCTTGCACTGCACTGTCCACCACCCACAACCAGAACCCCTTCGCACCTTCCAGCCCCCACACACGTCCAAAACCTGATTCCGTTGCCGTTGTATCGGGTTGCGAGGCCGGGCGGCGGCTCATGGAAACACCAGCAGCGACCGCTGCTACAGTGACAGCAGCTGCTGCCACCAGCAAAGCCATGCGGAAATACCCGGAGGGACGAGTGCGCTGAGGAATATCATTAGCGGCAGGGCTATCAGGGGTGTCAGTTTCCCCTCTCTGTTGAATGAGGATGGTGAGTGCTGGTGGGCTGGGGAGGGTGCTGGGGCACGTGGAAATCAGACTGCAGAGGAAGAAAAGGACCACGGCAAAGAGGCACGCAACGGCGAAGTTGCTACAGCTGGCAGAGACTATGGTCACCCCCACAATGCCAAGGCTCAGGGCTCGAACCATCAACCAGAATGTGGACGGGGAGGAGGAGGAAGGCGAGAAGGAGGAGCATGAGGATGTGGCAGTGGTGGGAGGAGCAGGGTGTTGCTGTGAGGAGTACGCGGCTGTGAGATGTGGTGAAGGGGTGGAGATTAGAGAGCAGATGGTATGAGCGACGGACGGGCAGATGACCCTCCACCAGAGGGACATGGACAGGACTAGTGAGGTAAGGGCAGTGGAGAGCCAGAGGAGAAGGCAGTGTGAGGGGGTCGTGGGTAGGAGGAAGGAGGGGAGCAAGGAGAGGAGTGACAAGGGGAGTCGAAAGGACGGGTGGCAATTGGGAGAGGAGAGGAGGTGTGAGAGGTGCTGTAGGTGAGGGGGAATGCCGGCGACAAGGGGCGCCCAGAGGAAGAGCAGGCATACAAGCGCTGCTGCCTGCACGCCAGCTGCTGTGTCTGCCGCTTGCTGTGGGGAGAAG